ACTTATTTGGAAATAGGATAGCTAAAGTGGCTAAAACATATTAACTCACACACAATCAAAATCATTACCACGCTGAGAAGAAGACCAAAGTGGATAACGTCTTTACTCACAGATGTTCAAAATCATTACTAAGTCGATAATTGGGTAGAATAATGTGAGTAAATGGAGAATTATGTACTCGAGTAAAGAAGAATAATGCTTAACATATATATGTTATCAGTATATTACCCCTACAAATTTGAGCTCACCTAAACCTGTAATAACATCAGTACCTCCCAGGAATTAAGAAGAATAAGCATTTGTGAATTCATATTTAGATCTAAACAATAAATAATTTTGATTAAATAAATTTAATTAATATGTATATGTAAATATTAGTCCATCATATGTCCGAACAAATTTAAAATTTTTGGTCAATAAGGATTCAAATACATAAAATTGCCCAATGTTTAAGCAGTTTTTGAGTGACTACATTTGAATTTGTAAAAAAGAGAATTCTCTAATATTGATGTCTTTTTTAATATTTTTAAAATAGAATTAAGTTTGTTGCCTCTGTAAAGTAGATTCTATGCTACTTTTTATTAACGCAACAGGGCTTAGAGATCTACTCTAAACCCAGAAGGGGGCACAATAGACCCGACGGTCGCAGGGCCACATCCCCTAATATTAATAATATAAGTTTGTTGCTTTGATTTCAAATATCAAAATGAGTTCAATCAGCAATCAAATTCTTTCGTACTCAGAAGCACTTTTATACTAAAAGGTGATTTTTAAAAATGATGAACAAATCTTATGTGAACTTTGGAAATTTATGTAATTCAAGATAGATATCCCTCTCGACAAATTTTATCAAAATTATCTATTAAATGTATACATTCCATTTAAATTGAAAGTACAATGTTAACTCGAAATAATAAACTAATTAAGATCAAAATTTTATCCACTATTCCGCAATTGTGGAAAGGAAGATGAAAGTGCTTCCCATTTGCCTCGTTTCTGTCCAACACATGCGCGGCGCCGCCTTATCACTTTAACAGCTTACTTTTTAGAGGATCTTGGCGAACTGCAAAACCTCTCCCTAAATGGCATTATAAGGTTTGCGAAAAGTTATAACTGGTTCTAACCCTTGAGTTTTTAATTATATGGTAACACGATGTGCCTATAAGCCTAAGTGGATCATTTGGGATCGCCGGTATAACCCACCTACCTCTCCAATATTCTAAACTTTGCTTATTTTTAATAGTAATAAATTTAGAGAAGAAAGTGTATCCCCAATCGAATGTGTACATAAGCCAGTGTTTACCTTTTTTTTGCGATCATTGTATATTAAATGTTATCAAAATATATATTTGTAACAAATTTCGTTTAAATATATAAAAATTAACTGTCATTGTTGAATTCAAACCACTTTTAAATATTATTGCAACATTAAAAATATATCACTTTTTGCTCTGGAACACCTTAAATATATCTAAAGAGTGGTGCCACAAAGTAACCAAAAATAGTTTATATACTTTGCACCGAAAAAGGATTGTTCAAAACCTCCTTTAGAACTGCTACTAACAGCATTAAGTGCACCGCTGGCTGTGGAACAAATTTAAACCACTTAGTAAAGTATAAGAAAAGCCACAAAAGAATATAAAATCCACAAAAGAATTAATTCTAAAAATTTATTTATTTAAAGTCGAAAAAATTAAAAAAAAATTTAAATGTAACTATTTTACCTTCACACCAACTGTGACGCCTCTTTTTGAACAGATAATTAAATTGTTGACTTATTCGAAAGCAAAGAGTTTCCAGAAAATGTGGGTGGGTGTTACATGTTCTTCAACACACCTACAAAGCAACACCTATAAAAATTTATACTAAACTATTTTTATTTTTTTTTAAATAAAAACTTATACTAAAAGGCTTGCGCTGCGAGGTTAAATCCTTTGCCATAGTGATCATTTAAAATCACACGTAAAGTAACTTTTATCCAAAGCGTATGCAAGGCATATACAATCGAAGAGCAATAAGATCCGATCATAGATATACACTTCGATACTGAAAAGTGGAAATTACCAAAGGAAAGGAAACAAGAGAAAATAAAAAGGACATAAGTTGCTAAGACCGAAAACTATTTTATGATGGGTGCCGCATGCTCATTGCGATCCTGTGACCCAGAGAAGGTCATATTATTTTATTGAAATGTGAATTTCCGCATTTGCGACACACACTACCAAGAATGGAACTGTATAGGCAATTTCAATATTATAACTAACTAGATATTTTTCTACCTGTTCATCGAGTATTTTCTTTTTGACCCTAATTCATTGTTTTCATACTCTGGTCCTTAGAGAAGTATCCGTATTTCGCACTACGAAAATTTCTATAAATACTGCTGGTGTAGTTTGCGCACTTCAGTTTACTCAAAGTACTCAAGTGTTTAACACATCCTAACTTATTTACTACTTATCAACTTACATTTAAGAATTTGTGAAATATTTACTTTTTTATAAAAAATATCTTTTAATAAAACATTGAGTATAAGGAGTTAAAGTGATTTACTGTGCAACTTGTGAAAGTGTTTTTTATCTAATATGAGTTCACTTTTCGATAAGTTTTCATTCACAAATGAAAATCTATCAGCAGAAACAATGGACTTTGATATGATCACTTGGACCGATTGTTCCAATATATGCAACTCAAACTACAATCTGAATATAACGAATAGTTTTGATTGCAACAATATGACAACTTTGGACACGGTAGGTCGAAAGTGTTAATTAGTTTTAATTTTTATCCAAGAACTTACAAGATATAAAACTTAAATAACTCTTCTATAATAAAAATATAAGAAACAGATATTTATGTATATTTATACACAAATCTATTTAAAAATATTCATACAGATACTCTAAGATATATATATATAGTCGAGTGATAATGACTGTAATATAATTTTGAACATATTATTATAAATAAGTTGAGATATTATGCTCAGAGAATAAAAATGAATAGATGAGATTAAACAAATTCTCAAACAGTGCAAAACAATAAAGTCGTCATAAAATCAACTGAGATATAAGATATGATAAGATAAAATAGTTAAAGAAAGTGTCTGCATAAAATGGTTTTCAACAAAATTGAAAATAATTTTAAATATATATAATATCAGATTATTAGCTCATTTTCTTTCATGATCTTAAAGACAATTAAGGCATGTGTTTTTATATATATTTTAAACACCACTCTTCATAAATTGATATTGTCACAAGACACAATCTGCGAAATACATTATCTATATGAAGTCAAAATTATCAAAATTATGACACAGAAAATTATTAATCATATTTTTTACATTATTAGTAACAGCATGATCATTTTTATTTTTAGAGAACTATAGTTTATTTACATCTCCAGACCATAAATAAAACAAGCTATTTATTATAGTAAATGTATTTAATAAATATAATATGAGTTTTTATTATTCCAAATCAGTTTCTGCAAATAAAACAGAAATCTGTTTCACTTCTGAAGTCAATTTATTCATAACATACTAGATATATCACAAGTTATCATATGTGATATATATATGTTAAACCATTTGAGTTCTTACCTCAAAAAAATGCATGATAGTTTCACATCATAACGCCTCATCGTATTCTCATATACATATGTTATTCTTATGTATGTTTTAAACATAACTGATTAGAGAGACAACTATAGTTATAGATGTATTTATTTTTCTATTTATTATATCTATTCATATCGTATCTGTCATATATATAAATCGAATTTTATATATATATAAAAATCGAATACATTAAATTAGGAACTAGGATAAATACACATTAGACAGTCATCAAGAATATGACGAACATCTGTCATAGCTAACCCCATGAGCAGCACTTTAGGTCTTTAGACCTCACTTTGTCATTGCTCCATTGGTTATTGTTGGAGTATAAGAAAGCCTCTAGTGAGAATAATAAATTTTTCCAAAGTCGGATCAGTTTGTATGCTAACATACAACATTGAGTGTCTTGAATATTTTGGTTTAGCTAAGTCAGTATTTAGTAGTAAATTTGCTTCGTTAGTGACCTTGTTATATACATTAAGAAAGGTTTATTTTTTTTTATGCATTATATTAACATACACTTATTCCTATCATATCTAAGGAAGTAATATTTCAAAAATTTTAATAATGTTTAAATAGAAATTAACACAAATTTTCGTAAATATAGATAGTTTCGGAGTTTCCTTAGCTTCCAATTCTTTCTTTCTTACTACTAAGAAATACTTTCCTATCTACTTCATTCTTCCATTAAAGTATATAACAATAAGCAACTTTACGCATTCAATCCTGAAGATTCACAGATAAATAACTTCACTTTGAATTTTGATAGTCGTACCTAAAATAAATGAAAAAATATTCCTTCTTTGCAAGCATTCACCTCAAGTCCTCACAGAACAAACAGTAATAAAAGCGGCAGACAGACGGCGAGCAGGTATTTCCAATCCAACCTAAGTAGTATACATTAAAGATTTGAGGTATTAATGGCAATGGATGAAGTGCACAATTAAGAACGTAGACGCGTAGTCGTATTGTTTTCAAGGTGTTATTTCAATTGCACACACGTTCACTTAAAATTTCATTATTATTTCCGCGGTCAGGATTATATATGTACTTTCCTATCTTTCATAAGGCTGAAAACACATTGAAATGGTTTTCAAGGATTTTGAGTACTATTTCGCAACTTTTTCTTCTATTCAAACATGAATTGCCTTGCAACATAAAATTTTGTTATTGGAATTACCCAAATTTTGAATCGAATATTCCGTAGGGATTCTTTATTACGCCTCCAACAGGTGCGAATTGTTTGTTTAACAAAAAACTGAAAAAATCTATTGAAAATCTTAAAGGTCTTTAATAGTTTATAACCTTATGTATTTAGATAATCATTACTATATAGTACAAAAAGTAGACCTTTAAATATTTTCTTCTCTGTTTTTTACAGTTAAATGCCGCTAAAGATAATTTAAAGAAGACCATGCAGCTACTAGAAGACGCCAAAAACACATCCACAGAGCTTCAATATCAATTATGTGACAAAGAGGCTTATTACACACAAAGAGAGGAGAAGCTGCAATCCTTGCATCGTTGTGAACTGGAAAAAGGTTAATATTAATTTTTAAATAATTAAAATTTTATTTTAAATAAATAATTTTTTGTTACTCTTCTTCTCACTCGTTATTGTAACTCCAGCTCAATTGAGTCTCACAGAATATGAAAAGCTAGCACAACAACAAATTGCAGCGCTCGAAGCTAAATTAGTCGCCAAAGATGAGGAACATAAACATGCGCTCGAATCCTGCCAACTAGAAATGAATAATAAATTGAAGCAACAACAACAACAACAGTTGCAAGCAAGTGATGACCGTGCACGTCTATTGGAAGAACAAATACAGCGGCTCAAGAGCTCCGAGCAGGAGCTACAGCAAAAGCTCAAAACTGTAGAAGCCAATGTTGCCACACAACATCAGGAAGCGGAAAAGCGTGAGACTGCTCTTCAAGAACGCCTCAATAGTGCGCAGGATGATCTATTGCAGAAATTGAAAACAGCTGAGAATAATTATGAGATCAATTTAAATGCCGCCAATGAGCGTGAAGAAGCGTTGAAAGAACGCGTTAAACGTCTCTCGAATGAATTGAATATGTTGCGTGAAAGTAAGGAATATAGAGAGCGTGAGCTGAAAGAAAAACTAGATCTTTCACAGGATGAAATCGCAGTACTACGTCACTCAAGACGCAGTGGGAATGATACCTTTGAACGTAGTTTCTCGGCACGCAATTCCAGTAATTGCAACTCGAGCATCTCCACAACTGAAATTTCACGTTTGGAGAGCGAAGCGGAAAGTCTTCGGTGTGTGCTTGAAATGAAACAGAAGGAAATGTCGAAATTAAGCAAACAGAATGAAGAACTTGTCCGCGAGTCTGAGGGACGTTTATCGTTACAAACTAAAATTTCAGCATTGGAATCAAGAATAGAATTACTAACAACGGAATTAACTATTAAATCACAAAGAGAAAAGTAAGTTCAGTTTTTATTATATCATTTTTAATAAAATAGATATTTTCACAAATTTATTTCTGTCAATTTATCGATGCATAAGATTCGAATTAAAATTTATAGATAGATTTTCATCATAGTCCAAACCGATTGCGAAAACAATATTTATGATCATAAATTTTGATTAAAATTTAAAGTTTCAACCTTTACAAATACAAACGTATAGTATAGATAGATAGAAAGACAATTAGATAGATAGACAAATAGTAGACATATAGGTAGACAGATAAATAGGAAGATAAATAGACTAATAGACAAATCAATAAACAGATAGATAGACATCGATAAATAGATACATAAACAAATAGATAGACAGATACATAGACAAATAAATAGACAGTTACATAGACAGATAGATTGACAGATATATAAACAGATATATAGACAGATAGAAAGACAGATAGATAGACAAATAGGTAGACAGATAAATAGACAAACAGCAAAATAGATCAATAGACAAATAGGTGGATAGTTAGATAGATAGATAACATAAATAGTCAAATAGTAGAGATTTAGATTGACCGATAGATAGACAGATCAGTAATATATTATAAAATCACTATATATTAAATAAGCTTGTATGAGATCTCGCATTTTTTTTTTGTATTAGGTCATCATATATTTTTTATTGATTGATTCGAGCCTGTTGTGTTTGAATAAATAATTCAATATGTCAGTATTCATAATTGAACGTACCACTGTTTGATAGAACTCTAAAAAAAAGATACCATTAAACTTTCACCACTTTTGTTTTGAATAATACTTATTTTCGAAATATTTTGAATCAACTCAAATAATATTCTGAAGAGGTTTTTTCCAGTCTTTTCTAGTTTTGCTTATTTATGATTTATTTTATTGATGTTTGAGGAGCGAATCACGGATGCTAAGGCGACGGATCAAGATTTTCTTGTACAAACATATAGTGATCGGAAATTTAGAATAAATTTAATTTCAAACCATTATTCACACATTTCTTTACATAGTTATTTAAATTTTTTTTTAAATATAATAAAATTATTTTTATTCTCTATTCTTTTAGGGAATATCTACGTCAATACGAGGAAATTAAAAGTCATCTAAGTCATGAAACTCATAAACGTACACGCCTAACATTCGACAATGAATCTTTACAATGGCACTTAAAACAACGTTCCGAGCAATTACATCTCGTCGAAGCTAAGCTACATCAATTATCTACACATGATTCCATTGGAAATCTTAGTTTTAATTCCGTTTCTAATATATCCAATTACATTGCACCACAATTCGATAGTTTATCAAACACATCACTCGATGATGATTCATCAGCTTTTGTGAAAGGTGTTATCGATAAGGGTGATTCAGTTTCATGGGTGCTTGAAATGGATGATGAAACTCCAGAAGCGGCTGCTACAAAAATGGTTAAACGCGCTGGTTCTTTCCGCGCTGCTGAACGTAGTCCAACTACACGCCGCCAACATTCGTACACACCAACACATATAACAATACAAACATCAGCCGCGCTGACAACGAACGGCAGTGGTCCCAATCCACTTTCACAGTCAATGTCAGCAAACTCAGTGATACCTCAACATTCCGCCGAAATATGCAGTGAAAAACCAAAAAGTCCACATCAACGCTGTCGTTCGAAATCGGTGAGCACAAAGTCAACAGAAATGCTCAGCACACAAACACTACAACCATCGTTTCCAGCTACAAGTAAGAATCCCAAAAAATATCTACGCCAATCGTCTGCCGGCAGCGTACGTAAGAATGAACCGATATGCACCAGTTCACCATACTCACATATACACAACCAAAACAATGGCGCACGTCCACGTACCTCAACAATGAAGGATAGTGCAGATGATAAGTTACTCTTTCGTCGTTCATCCGCTGTAAGCTCAAGCACAAATCGCAAGCTCATCACATGTGACACATCAACATTGAATAGCGGTGAGCGTTTGGAAATGCGCGCATTACCAACACATCCTTCAGTGCATGATTTGAAGGTGCTAAAGAAATACGAAGAAATACAGGAATCTGCTGGTGAAGCTATGGTATCCGGTACAAATTCAGAGGATGAAGGCTGTTCTGCTTCATCTGATGAAATTGTACACACAGCATCCAGTGGCTCAAATTCTTCACTTAATCATATGAAAAACTCGCACATATCCTTAGAGGATGCATTTCTGTTAGACAAAGCGAGCAGTCTAAATGGCACACCAATGGAGGTTAGCTGGAATGAGGACGGTGACACATTTACAAGCGCTTCAAATGTATGACATGATGATAATGATGATATAGAGGATGAAGAGGACAGTTTTTGAGAGTAATTTTTAGAGTAACATTTATAAGCTAAAAACACAATACAAAATAAAATATAAAAGAGAAATGAAAAATTGTTTAAAGAAAATGTGCTTTAAAGCAAGCGTAGCTACTTTAATATGTTCACCTAAATGTAATAATAATAATTAAAATAAATTTATGTATGTATTTGTAAGAACTCAATAATTAGAAACTCAAAAGAACAAAAACTCAAAATTAATGCAATAATTTTTATAATAAACAAATTAACTAAAAACGCATGTTAGAAAACTACTTCAATGTGCTCGTGAAAAGCTCTTATAGCAACAGAAGTCGTATATGTCGTCAATGAAAAAGGAAAATGTCATTATATTGCTAATACGATTATGTTGCATGCATTTCTCAATTGGTAACTGAGGGAAAAATCGACACTAGAATAATTCAATTAAATATAAAAAAGCTTTTAAAAAATCAATTATTGTCAATACTTTAAGGAACGATTGAAACTCGCATGCGTGCAAAGTTAAGGCCAGAACACTGCTTAAATTTCAGTCAGTTTAAGTCAGATAGAATCAAACTAAAATGTGTAATTCGCTGAAATTCATCATAGTAAGAAATTAACAAAAACATCACAGTTTGTCTGCTCACGGATATCACTGGAAATTCTCTCGCATGCTTGAAAAAATGAAAAAATTGTTTAGAAATAGAATATCATGGAAAGTAACTATTAAAGTGATGCTTCATTAAAAACGGCAACTTCTAATAAACGCTTAAAGTGAATCAGTCGTGGCTCACAGTCTCAATACTGACTTAAATCATACTTAAGTTGTTATTAAAACTTAAATTACGACTGTGATATCGGTCCTAAGCAAATATCGCATGCGTGTAAATTCATCAGATGCATGTTGGTAACTTTGCTTTACACTATAAAACATCACATCACATTTTGAGTTTTTAGTTTAGAGAAAATTTTAAAATATTTAATTTTGTGATCAGAGAAATAAAAAATTTTGTTAAATTATATATTATAAATATGCTAAACAAATTGATGTATCGTATGAATGTAGCTTTAGTATAAATGAAATAAATGTTGGTATAATATACAGCTTCTAAGCTCAACTTAAAAACATAAAAAACAATATTTTTTTTAATAAAGTAAAATAAAACAAAGCAAATAAAAGCTAAGAAATATTGTCATTAAAGTCAAAATATATAAATTATATTTATATACTAAAAGATGACCTATAATCTAATTAGGAGCGACATGCATTTGTCAGTAATTAAACAAAAAAAAAAAGAAAAATTGCTAAAAATTAAAGCTCATTAGCTAATAAAGAAATTTGGTTGAAGGATATAAAAATAATATATACATAAAAAAAGGACCTTGTAAGTGAGTACAGATTAAGGCTTAAGGGCTGAGGTTTGATGACACATAAGTAACACTTACAAATCTGTATTTACTACTATTTTCGTGTTTGCATAAGATTTTACTTATTACGAAAATTAATTTGTTAGTGTCAAAAGTTGATTAAAAATTATGTATAACTAATATACACAAAAAAAAATAAAAAATTATATACAATATACATAAATATATGATGAAATGATGAAAATGAATGTAAGCATATGCAAAAGAATATTGCTTGAAAAGATGCCGTCTGTGTAAATGCTAAGTGATGTGTTTTATTAACTAGAAATGTCTAAAGATTAAATTAATTTAAAAAAAATTATGATAAAAATGAAAAGTCATTTAAATGCTAAAACAATGAAAGTAAGAGTAGCGCCAATTTGGAACTATTAAGCTATTATAGGTTTGAATTAATTGTAAGCATAAATACATACGTTTATAAAATATTGATATACATATATATGTTAAAAACTAAAATCAAACAAAAATTGCTATTATTAAAGTAAGTCTATTATATTTATAATTTTATTTTTATTTAATTTAATTAGTCTAAAGAAATGTGATACATTTCAATTTATGTTAGCTTCTATTTTTTTATGTAAAAGTAGCATGCTACAAAACTAGCATGCTATAATTTTCGTACATTTTCACATTAACTTTTACTTATTAACTATAAATGCAGTTTTATGACAGTGTTATGCTTAATATTTGCTTTTAAATTATGAGAAAATAATTAAATTTTGTTTTTAATATACTTAAAATTCAATTTTCTAAATTTACTACTCAAATTTAACTAATTAAAATCAATTAGTATTTATTTTTTGCCAATTATATAGACCAATTATATAGTTGTTGTGACCTAAGAAGATCTGTTATTTTTGTCCCAGTCAATGTATGAGCGGCATTAAGTCCCTTAAAGAAAAAAAATAAAAAGCAAGGAATAGATGATCGTAGACGCGAGTACTCTTAGAACCACTAAAACCACAGAAAATTTATATATAGATAAGAAAGGCCATATATAGTATATGACTACATAATTTTTAGACTGTTTGTTCACTGTAGAATTTAAAATGATTTATCGTGATTCACATAAATGTTATAAATTGAAGAATACTTACATTTCAGTAAAGAGATGATAATATTCCTCAAACACATACGTATTGGCTAAGAGAGCAAATTAGAACCCTGAATTTTTCAAATAAATAATGGTGGAATCCGAAAATAGAAAGAATTTTGACTGAGAAGAACCGGAGAATCTTACGAATTATTTACCGATTTTATGGTTAGCATTATAAATATATATATTTGTATGTTGCTGGTCTGTTCTAAGACCAAACAGTATGAATGCAAATATTTATAAATCTAAAGAAAGGTTTAAGTTTATTATAATATATGATTATATTATATGACTTCAGATATATTTATTATAAAACAAACTATCTGTATGCTGTTATGTAGTTAATAACCTTTTAATCAATTAAATCCAATCAAAACAATTAAAAAATACACTTTACACTTTTTTCTAGGTCTGTATTGGGTTGTGGTATAATTCTCTTACCTACTTCACCATCTCTTATAAGAGCTATCGATTTACAATAACAAACTCTAAAAGTTTGATCAAGTCGTCTATTTCCAGCTCTGTTAATTAAAAATAATAGAATATTACAATAGAACTGTTAAGAAACAAAACTTCAGTTACCTATGGTTAATAATATAATCCACTCAATTAAGATTATTTCGTACCATGAATAGTAGGTTTTAAGATTTAGATTTATGTGTCTACAATATACAGATAATCGCACTTCACAAGCAAAGTTAATGAAAAGATAGTGTTTGATAAAGGTTTCAAAAAAAAAATTTAGATTCGACAATAAGTACTTCTCTTAATAATCACACTTATAGGACTCTAAGGAAACACTCTGCACTCTATTTATACATAAAACACTCATACCGTAATTAAAGTTCTAATAATAGAGTTGCCAAGATAGCTAGTACAAGATAGCTTCAGTTTTATGTGATCACTTTAAAGGTTCTTGACGTTTCATAAAAAACTTCTGTTGATAAAAAGCTATATGTAGATTTTACGAATGTGGGTCCAGCATAACAATAACATGGCAACAATATAATTCTTAATGGAATAAAAGAATAACAAGAATTATAAATAGTTGAATTATTTTATATGAGTAAACTCATTTACTCGTATATGCCAATATGCATTTAAACTAAAAGTTCTTCTCTGGTTTTCGTTGTGTTCCATCACACTTTCGAAAAGGGCCTTCATCTATAGAAATTGGCATGGCTTAAACATTTATTAGTACACTTGATTTTATTAATTCTACAGGCATGAAATCATTAAGTATATATAAAAAAATTAATTCTTATAACTTCAAACATTTATATGTTTTTATTTTTTATAATATTTTTATAGCAAATGTTTTGCACAATACTGTCATTATTCAGATGCAACCAAATTATCGTACACAAGTTAAGACCACTTAAATTATTTGGATTTTCTGATAAAGTCTTAGAATAACAAGTTTAATAAATCTTTGTAAAATTTAGATATATTTAAATTTACTAAAACATAATTTGCTTAAAGACAACTGATTATAACCTCACAATTTGTTTTAAACTTTATTAAAGTATAATATATATTCGAAATCAAAGTTCTATTAGAAAGAGACTTTAAAAAATTCTTTTAAATTTATAATAAAATTATAAAGTTCAAAATTTCTCGTATGCACAAAATAATGAAGACCTTATATATATATATTAATATAAATATGAATTTCTGTATATATGGACTGATATACATTCTGTATAAAAAGTATCAGTAATTTTTAATTTAAAAAACGCTCGTAAACGTTACAGTGACAATTTATTTCTATAAATTTGTGACACTGTATTGTGTGATTGAGTGAGGTCTGCTTCTCCGTGAGTTCATACTAATTTTTGGAATTATGCTTTTGAGTGTTCTGCGATCGTTATGCGGGAGTTGTTGGAAAAACATTTAATGAAAGTGATCAAACAATCTCCCTGCTCTGCAGGCATGGTTCCGTCTGCTTGTTTTTTGTTCCCGAACATAAAATGGTCACCTTATGAAAACCTTTTGAGTTCATTCCGTCTATTAAAAAAAAGGGAGGTCGAAGGTCTATAAAGTCTATGAAGAATGTATGGATGTTTGAATCAAATACATAGTAGTATTGCACTCAATTAGCCCTACTTTTAAACAATGAAATAAATGTTAATTGGTTTACGTTATTTTTCCGTTCTATTAACTAATTTTAGATACTTTTAACAGAGAATGTATCGTATATATGTACATGCATATACATGTTTATATTATACATATAAATTACAGATGATATTGCATTTAATCTAAGCAATTTATATAGGAACAGCTAATACTTGTTGTATTTTGGATTTTATTATTACAAATATTTTAATAAATTTTTTAAAATTCGAAATGCTAAAATACATATATGAATAAATTGGTATAATTAATAAATCAGTTGCATTTAATCAAATTATGTTTAAGTATAGATAAACAATGAAACAAGATTTAATAAAAAAATTGTATTTTAAATTTATGTTTGTAGAAATAAATATATATTATAAATTGTTATAATTGGTAACTGAACTTAAAAAAAATATTTAAATTAAAGTTTTGTAATGATAATATTGTTATTGTGGCATATAACATAACTACACTTATACTGCACAAACAAAAAATCTATCCATATTTAAGAATATTTTTTATTTTTCAAAAATTTAAAAAATTTTTCAAATACATTAATAAATTAGGTGTTTCTTATACCAATAATCATCGACAATTTGCCACCACATAGTCAAAGAAAGTGGGTTTTAGTCTATAAGTTGATTAAGTTGTTTGAGTTGATTGAAGAGTATATGTTCTCTTATATGTACTCTAGAATTTTTATACATAAAAAAATATTCATTTTTATTCAATATTTGAATTCTATCTAAAAAAAAAAATATGTATTTGAAAAAATAATAATCATTATAAATACTTAACATAAAATTCAATTAAAGTTAAAAAAATTATACACTTTTCATAAATGATTACAGTATCGTGCATGTTTCACTCCACTTTCTACGTTATCTTTAGTTATACTAAAGATACTTATAACCTAGAAAATATAATTTAATTAATTATATTTTTACACTTTTGTTACCAAACTTAACAAAATTATACCCACTTTCGCCTACTTTTGCCTTTTACTCAATTCTAAATATAATTATAAAAAAATTTTAAAATAATTTTTTTATTTATCTGTTATATGCCTTAATTGTTAAATTTTTAAAATTTATTTATTTACCTATAATATATATATACAATAAAATATATATATAAAAAATTAATTTAAATTTATATAATAAAAATTGTAATAGTATTAAGAAAAAATTATTTTACATTATATGCTATTAATTTCTTTAAGTATTAATTAATTCTTAATTAGAATAGTCAATAAAAAATACAAGTCTGTCGCTCCCCTCTTCATATATAATAAGAAGAAAATAAGAACAAAAAAAAATTAATGTATGCAAACATTTATATATACATAGCTGTAACCTTAATATATATTCAAATTGGTATATATATACATATATATATACAATATACATACACAAAAAAATAATACATTATAATATATTCTGAATTTTATTAAAATTTTATTTTAAATTTATTTATATATGAATTTGCAAATTTTTTTATTTCGAAATAATATAATTTGCTGAAAATTTTGAAAGTAGAAAAGTAATAAAAAATTTATTAATGAAGTTGATTAATATATAAATATAATTATGTATCTTATAACATTATCGGCTCGATTGCGTTGTGGCCATGTATAAGCCAGCATGAGCAAATATTTTAATTTTTTATCATTTTCAAAGCAACAAAAATTAAATAAAAGTGAAAATATAAAAAAATATAATTATAACAAAAATAAAATAAAAAAATAAAAAAATTCGAAATAATAATAAACAATATAAAGGTTAATAAATAAAACAATTTTTAAAAATATTACAATTACAAGAAATAATAATTTGCAATAGTTGAAATGAATTACTTGACGTTTGTAAAAAATTAAAAAAATAATTTACAGCCTTTAAAGATAATTTCATTATATTATTTTTTTTTTTTGCTCTTTGAACCAAAAACCTTTTATAAAGAAGCAGAATGGCTTAATTTTAATTTCTTAAATATATGTAAAAAATTTAAATATAATTATTATATTATATATATAAACTAAAAATCAAGTAAAGAAATAACATTTACTGTTTAAAAAAATGGAAATTGTTTTTTTATTCTAAAATAAATACTTTTAATATATCAATATCAATACTAATATGAGATGAGATGAGCCGAGATCCATGGGATCAATATTAATATACTTTATGGTCTGCTTATATGAAATATAATTTTACCCTATCTTTCAATAAAAAAAGAGATAATGTACATCGAAGTAGAAAAAGACATTTTTTTAGTAATCTTACAGTTACTTACTAGAGGTGCTGAGATACATTTATACTTGAATTAAAATAGAAAATTAATTTTTTCAAAATATTAAAAAAAACTCAATTTCCATCGAAAATGTTTTCAAAAAGTGTTCTAAATGCTTAACACTAAAATACTTGAAGATGATAGTAGTGATAAATTTTAGTGAAAATGAATTTTAGAAGAATTCGAACAATAAAAACAAAGTGTCCATTTTCTGGCTCTAAATTAGAACAATGAATGACTGCTTCAATAATATATTTCATACAGAACTTTCATGAAAGATATATGTTTAGTTCAGGGTTTTCCATGTTGGAGAAAGAACTGTTTATCTACTGCAAAAGGTATTAAGAATGTAAAAACTTACTACAAAAATGCTAATGATATATATATATCATTCATATATCATATATAAACAAAGTTATCACAACTGAGGCAGTAAAAATTCACAATTGAATGTCGCACCACCCTTACCAATGACATCGAAGAGATTCATCACCGCTACACTTTTCTTTTCTTTTCTGTGAACTAAATGTGTTTATGTGGATAATCCTTAAGTTCCTGATACTTTGAAAACGGTCATCATTCAAAATTAAAGTGACTTATTGCCAGATGAGTGCCGACAAGTCGAGCGAAAATTATCTGAAAAGGATTTAGTATTGCAAGGTGTTTCGAGAAAAAAAATTGAGAGATATTGCATATTACACTTGACACGATACAAACTATAAATTAAAACAAAATATTTAATTGAAATCTCACAAATTAGGAGTCATAATACATTTTACTATTAAAAGGAAAAATTTTATGTAAAAACTCGGATACATTTTTTTGGGTATCGCAGATAGAAGTAAAAGGCATTAAAAAAATGACCACATTTTCATTTATAAAATTTTACTGTTAAATAAATATGAAAATTTATTTACATACAAATAATAATAAGCATTTTTGGTGGCTCACAAGTCTGGCAATGTGGCAAAAAAACAGCAAGTTACTGGCCTATACTGACCGAAATGTATGCAAAACAACAACACTATTTTCGCTACCTCGGCCAGTATAAGTACCACACACTGGCCACACACATCGGCCAGTACAAAAAAAAAGTGTTACCAACTATAAGCGAACTATTGTGAACCTTCATTGGAGACTCCAACGAATATTGTAATTATATGTCAAAAGTTATATGTAAAGAAAAATTAGAACAAAATTCTTATTGCTCTGTTTTAAGTAAAAGACTGTTGGATTAATGTTTAATCAACTGGCTTAAAATATTATTGTAATTTATAAATACATTACCAATAGTGAAAATTTAATATATAACATTATCAATTAAAATTAAGATATATAAATTAGATACTTTAAAAACAATGTCTATACTTATGCACTTAAAACTGGAGTTAGAAGATGTAGTTTTATTATAATACGATTTCAATTCGAAGATATCGAAGTACTATACGAATATGTTTATGGCTTCAATATTATTTACCAACGAGATCTGTTCGCTAGACGAGATCTGTTATTACTGAACTCATATGAACAATTCATCGTTCTTATGGATGTTATAATATCAATATCTTTATTAATACAGATATGATCAAATATCGATGGTCGTACTTTGTACGGATAAAATAAAATAGACAACAGTTTTTTATATAATGTATTTACTATCACTGACTTTATTATTTACGAGTTACTACAAAACTTTATATTAATAACAAAACGCTCAAAAAACATCTTTCAAAACTGTTCCTAATTTGATTTTAATTCATTTGTGTGGTATTCTACAAAATTATAAGTACCATATATTATATATCTCCACATAAATAGAACTCCAGTCCATATCAGGAAGTAACATACTCCTGAATTTTTTCAGCGACATTAATTAGAACAAAGATTGCTGTCTCCATTAACTAGAGAGAGATATATTCGCTGATAAAAATTTTAAACGGTGAGACTTTGGTTACATTAACCAAACTGGAATTTATAAACCCAAAGATTTTTGTCAGTAAACTGAAGATTTTTAAAAATTTTGACAGTTTTTTTGACAGTTTTTTGACATTTCAAAATTTTAAAGTTCAATATTAAATTCAGATTTTCTGTTGTAGTAAACGTACAGCATTAGGTGAAGTTAGTTAATTATTTTTCGTGTATACCAAATTGTATATAATAAAATTTATCGGTTGTATAATTACAACCTCTAAAATTCAATTTGGCGCTCTCTGATTCTAATTATCAAACAAGGCAAAACAACGTTTACGAGAACGCCATTCAGTAGTGAAATTTACTACTGATACAGTTTTTGTAAAACATTAGTCGTGATTAACTAACCAAGACCAAATATTCAATATATGTCAACAGTCGTCGAATAAATGAATACTTCAACTAACTAAGCATTAATTAAACTGGTGTGAAAAAAGATTATTTAACATCGAGTTTATAGTTGAGGTAATATAACTTTATTTTATGTTTCATAGATTATTTTTAATCAGAAAAATCTAAGTAAGCATGATGTATTCTAAACTTTTTAATTGAATTGTAAAAATTATTTCATACATTTCATAAAAAAAATATTACAGAAATTGTTGGTCCTTAACCAGGCAGAAAAAATGAATCCAAATCGTAATAGACGTGATAGAGTAAGTATGATATCCTCAAAAAAAATATTATTAAAAGCTTGTCTGCCACTATATAAAAAACATAATGTAACAAATCAGAAATATGAATTGTAGTTGTTGCCGAAGTATTGACTAGCCCTCAATTTTTTAGAATCGTCGTAATCGACCTGTTGTAAGAAGCACTGTAAGAGACAATCTCGGATCCGATGGAGAGTATGATGAAGATACGGATGATATGTGTGACTCGCCCATTGATTGGTTTGCGGAGAGCGAATTTGATGAGAGACTTTTAGATCCTAAGTTTTTCGTCAAGTTTATCACAAACACTGATGAAAAACCAAAAAAACATAGTGATCACAGTCATCAATTTCGTCATCCCATCATCCCTAGAGAACTATTGAGTACCGGCAGTAGCAGTAGTTACACAATGTACAGTACACCCTCCACTGATTATACCGATAGTACCGATAACACTGCATCAAGTAGCGCAGGTAATACGAATCCTGCTATCAACATTTCAAGCTATGAATCAGGGAGTTCCCAGAATTCACCAGAAAATACTGATGAGAGTGGTCCTCAATGTTCTACTATATTTTCAAACACTCACAGCGCTAACAATGCTAGTAGCAATAGTGATGGTATAGCCACATCTCGCTCTGAATCTTCTCGTGCCACCAATGCAAGCGATACCTCAAGTCTTGGACTTACCAATGACGAAATGATTGCTTTGGGTAGTCTCATCAGTACAATGGGCCTATTCGGTGTGACTGCTTCAACAGGATCCTTGACTTCTAACAGTGGTGACATCAATAGTTCGCTAGATGCTTTATCTGGACTGTTTAACGGTTTAAGCACGTCTGAATCTGTGACTTCGAATGATAATGTGGAATCTAATTCAACTGATAGTGACGTTGAAAACTAATATTAAAATTTGCATTGTTATGTTATATGTACAAAAACACATACAACATATTTTTTTAATATTAAGAGCCAACATCAAAATTTATTTATTAAGATTTAGAAACAAAATCGTTCTTCATGTTTTGATAATGAATACTTCTTTTTAAAAATAATTTCAGATTTTTTCTGAATACATCTTATGATGAAAACTTCTGTATATTTTCTGTAAGAGACAACAGAAGTTTCCAGTTTTGATTATTATTTCAATAAAATTAACGTGATATAACTATAATATCTTTTTTTGTGATATGATTTTTCGTCTTTGAGGAAATGAGCTAATAAATATTCAAAATTATTAGAGAAGTTAATATATAAGTTATAATATATAACATATAATAATGTATAATATATGCTAGTATCTTAGGTATTCAGCTGAACCATTTTAGATATGTAGAGGTTTAAATACTAAATATTTTTTTTCAGGTAGAGCTTTATTATCTTCTAGTCAATGGGAATGTTAAAATTAAACACCTTTCTAGTTTGTTATGTTTTTGTTTTTAAAATTCAGTAGTGCATGGTTAATTACAATTGATTATAAATTTCTACTCAAATATTTAAACAAAAACCAAAAAACTATGATTTTCGAATTAATTTTTAATAATATAAGTTCTTGGATCACAAGTATTTTAACTGCCATCAGATTCGCTTTAGAGCAATTTTTAATAGTTGTCTATACCTCTTACCCGCTAAGACGACTGTAGAATTCAGTAGTAAGCAAAAATGTTTAAACAAGCTCGCAAAAGTCAAGCAATCAAATGATTTTTACAAACAATGTTTTTAACATTTAAAAAAATATAAATTTATAGTTAAGAAAATTTATATCGCTGTAGTTTATTCATAAATTCTAAAAATAACACAGTAAGTGCAAGTTGGTAAATAGACAATATTTTTCAAAGGAACTTTAATAAAAAATTTAATTTTTGAATTTAAAAACTATTCACTGTTCTCCTTTTATCTGTTTTAACAACCTGCTCAGCATCACTGTATCTGTTCTAACGGGTCACTGTGAAATAGAAAGGCATTCTATGAGACTGTGTCTTCTCTTCAATGACTTTTGTCGAGGTTGTGGCTCTGAGGATGAGGACCGTGCTCCATCTCATATGTCAGTGCCCTTCTTTAGCTAGAAGAAAATCAAAAATCTTCGGATCCCCTTTTCTCACCGTCCTGACTAAGCTGTCATCCTGTAATGTTAGGGACCTGACCAAGTTTGAAGGAGTCGCTACTTTTTTCGGCGTTGGCTGTATTAATTAAATTAATATGAAACTTCTGCTTTATGCAATATTTTAATTAAAGAAAAAAAAAAAATTAAGCAAGCTTGAATTTTTTTAAATATTGAATTTTTAAATTTGTTTATTTTAATCTCGATTTTTATTTAGATTTTCAAATATTTGAAAAAATTCTTTTAAAATTTTCTTTTCTTTTGTTTAAAAAACATTTTTAAATATTTCAATGGAACGGAAATTTATAAATATGTCTTCCGATAGGAGGAAACTAGCTGAAGAAATGCCCGACTGTACTGACTTTGAGGAAATATTACTAACAGAAGAGAGCCGTCTACCTGAAGTTGAAGAACAAGACATTATAGTTGGCGCAGACGATCCAGAAATTGAAAGAGAAAACGTTACGGAAACAAAAACTGAACCAGAAAAGAGCTCTGCACAAACAACTCCAATTGATACAGATAAGGAAGATTATGATCCATTCATATATACTTGGACTATTTGTCTAGCTTTATTAAGCATATTATTGACTATATATGGATGCATTGTTTAGCAAAGCCAAAAAAAGTTTTTTAGGTACACAATTTAAATTAAATTAAATTAAATTATTAACGTTAAAACTGGATGTGTTAAGTAAAGAAGAAGGATGTAGAGTGAAGAATGAAATGTGATGTTATTGCAAGTAAAGGGTGTTTTTATAAAAATGAATTAAATGGTCATCAATTGGTTCAAAATAAATATTAACTACTCCACCTTCATTTAAAGAAAATGTGTTTTTTTTTTTTTTGAAAAAATCAGTAAAAATCAGATAATGAATATAATGTAGAAAAACATATATATGAATAACAATTTCTTAAAAATGCTTAACTTGAATATCTTCGCTCAAATGTCAATAATCAGTTTATTAAGTATTTGTTTGTACTCAGACATAGTCTTTTTTTATATAAAAATGTTATATCTAATAACAATAATAATATAATAATAATAATGAATTTCAATGATTTTGACAGATCTTTATTTTAAATTCGCGCTCAATTTTGTTGGAATCTGTGATGATAAAATTCGTTGGTACATATGTTGTTTATCATCATATTTTGTTGTTTTTTATAAAGAAGAAATAAGCTTTTTGTTAATTGGGAAAAAAGTTTCAAATATTCCATCAATCCCAAACAATAATCTTTAATTACTTTTACTTTAAGTGGCCATAACAACTCTTACCCGGGCTTCGTCCTAATGTGATATGTCTCTCCAGATACCTCTGCTCCGTATGCGTTTTCTGCAGTAACGTATATCAAGTACAGTTAATGCTTTCTCAACTTATTTACTTTACTGAGGACACATTTACACCTTTTTTCAACAACTACCACTTTTTCATTGGAGCATAATCATCCATACTTGCGATATGACCAAGCCAGCGAAGGTTCTAGGTAAATTCGTTAATTGTAAAAATGTCGTCAAAATTGTAAAAATTGCGGGATTCGTCACTAACTCTTAGAGATCCAAAGATGTTATAAAGAAGTCATTATAACAATCGCCTTACTCTATTCAAACAGCATTAGCAAAATTTATGGCTACATGATTATAGAAATTAATATGGAAGCTATTAATAATGCAATTTGGAGAGCACATTATAAAAATTATAAATTCTGGATACATTCAAGTTAGGAAGTATTTTAAATAAAAAATAATTTATATAGTATTTTAATGATTTATTTCTACTGTTGAATCAAGTTTGTTGTCATCATTTTCTTTTCTACGTCAGCTGTCGTTTGTACCTTCTTAGTCATCCCATCTCACAAATGGTTATCATTTCAACCTTTAAGGTAGTTTGCCCATTTTCGATTAAGGATAATATATTAAACAAGTTTTATTTTGTTGTCATTGTATTAGATGTATTCCAAGATCTAAAAATGATTCGCACTCTACATTTCTGTTGGTTCCAGAGTACTTTATCACCCTGATACCCTGGCAAGTGTCCGGCAAAGTATTTGTAAGCTACGTGCAGCTTTTGTCAAAATCGCTGAACGCATAGAAATGTATGTGGAGACAATGCAAATTTTCTTCTAGTTCGTCCTTTAGTATATATTAATTAGAGAAATATGTGCTTGTTTTAGGTGAGCATATCTAAAGAGCACTGTCTCAAATTTCTGAATTTAAAAAAGAGATTATTAACACAATTTTCTGACTGTATCCGATTTAAACGTGTAATTGAAGCTTATTTTTTAAAACTCATAGTGATAATCTTAATAATTGTCCATTACCTCTTTTTATTTTATTTTTGTATGGAATGCTTTTCATAAAACATTTCTCTCTGTTTTCTTTAATATTGAACGGGTAAATAAATGCACTCAAGATATATTAGATTTTTAATATAATAACCAAACATATTCATGCTTTACTATAGCACTTTTATTGTCTAGACAGTATGTGTAAGAATGCAAACAAAAGCTTGTTAAAACATTGATCGAAAGAATAATTTTTTTTTAATATAATATTGAATACAAGAAAGAAAAATGCTAAAAACATTGCATTAACGCCTGGTTGGATAAGCGAAGTTTGTTGATTTCGAATTTATCGAAATGATTGCTAACACCATTGAAAGAACATTATTGGGAATATGTACAGAAAGTATTATAGCCACTTCGATTTCCATAGCATTATTCCCTTAATTCGTACTTGTTTACTTTTGCTCTCCTATATGCTATAGTTTCGTCCCATGCACACAAATCAACCTCCTTATTATGAAAGTTATGGAATCCTAAATTTAAAATATTCATATAACGTTTATAATATGTAATGGACGCCGTTAATTTTGTGTAGGATAATGCCTTTTGCATATCACAAAAGAAAAACCGAAATTCCGGGAAAATATAAAAATGTTTATGTCACTTACAATGTTGCCGCATATATAAAAATGCACTAAAAAAATTATGTAGTACAATTTTGAAGTAAATAGTAGTAGAGTATGTCTTCGAGGAAAGTGGACTTACACCATTTTCAATGTAATTATATTTGTAACTTCATTAACTACGAAAATATGTAATGATATAAACAATGTAGTTTTTTTTTTGGAAAAAGTTTATAAATAAAAAGTTCATAGTAAATTGTATTCATTTTCTGTATCTTGTCACATTTGTCGAAATGTTGCTGTTAAATAGCATACTTTGCTCCTATTGAGAATAAATTTTTGCATTTTTGTGTGGATATGCTTTCACATTACCAGCACCCACGGTTGCCACTTATGGTACTTTAGTACCAAAATTGGTACTTTTTTTTTTTGTCGTTTGGTACTCACTTTCAAAAAATGGTACATTTTTGACGACCCAACTTTATTGTGGATATTTCCAATTAATTTTTTTTATAAATGCAACTTCGCACCATTTTATATTTTGTTCATTTATAACACTATGAAAAACACACAACGAAAAAATAAAAAGGTTCAAAAAAATTTTTGACCTTTTTTTACAGAAATGGTACCATTTTAAACCAATTTTGGTACAGGAAAAAATTTTCAAGTGGCAACCGTGCTTTTGGGTATGGTCAACAAGAGAGTAAAATTGCAATGACCATTCGTCATATGACTGTCTGTATAATACGGCACTTAGTAACTCAGAACATATATTATATATATTCACATATAACATGTGCTCAGAAAAACTTATTTTATATATTTATTTTATATAATTTATTAAAAATAACTCTTAATTTTCGAAACCAGGAGGATTAGTCCAGATAATAAACAGCAATACACCTCCTTGTCAAACCTAAATATTTCTTATTAAACGTCCACTTTTACTCAGATGAACTGAGAACACATTTCTTATTACGACACTTTAACTTATATAGGAAGATTTTTTTTTATAGACATTAATGTTTTTTAAGTTTATTATTGTGCTTTATCAAGCACTTTCTTATTGTATGGAATCTTCGAAAATTTCGTGTAGGAAAAAATGAATTACTTTGAGCTTTATTGTCTTAAATTTATTTGTGTATTTATGAATATATTTTAAAATACAATAAAAGGTATTTATATAGAGTGGTATGTGTAGGATATATTAAACTTCAACTTCAAGTTAGATGTTTCATTTTAGTTTACCATGTATTCCATATACGATTAAATTATGATCGTATATGGATCAATTTTCTAGGTAAGGTTATCAATGTTATTATAATGCAAATATGAGTAAAGAGAATCTAACAACTACATTCACTACATTTATCCAGGAACGAAGATCTTAACGATTCTATATGTGAAAATCGTAAGATTATTTTGAGGAATTCATTAAGAGCAACACGATATGATATTAAACGAATGATAGAAAAATTTGCTTCGAAGTTAATCCATACCGCTTTACTTGTACAACAAGTTGTGGCGAAACACAGTCTCTGTAATATCGCTGCCAATCTATTTTACGGAAATAATACCTAAACATTTTTTTAATAAATTCAAAAAAATACGCATACAGAACAATATAAAAGATAAAGCAGATAAAAGATATAGCACAAAATAAAAATGACTGTGATTTAGTTTATAATCACGGTTGCCACTTATGGTACTTTAGTACCAAAATTGGTACTTTTTTTTTTTTTTTTTTTCGTTTGGTACTCATTTTCAAAAACTGGTCCATTTTTGACGACCCAACTTTATTGTGGATATTTCCAATTAATTTTTTTTATAAATGCAACTTTGCACTATTTTATATTTTGTTCATTTATAACACTATAAAAAACACAGAACGAGAAAACAAAAAGGTCCAAAAAAATTTTGGACCTTTTTTTACAGAAATGGTACCTTTTTAAACCAATTTTGGTACAGAAAAAAATTTTCAAGTGGCAACCGTGATTACTTATTAAGTTAAAGAACTACTGAATGCCATCGTTTATAGTTATAATAATCAACTCTTAAAATTTCCCAGTTACAAATATTATTTGGAACATGTAATTTTTAACATTCGATTTGTAAACTAAAAAACTTATAATTTCCTTAATTTGGGGCAGTATGAACATTTTCGAAATTAACTTAATTTCATTTTTACGAAATTAAGAAAATTTGGCTGTCTGAACACAGTATAATCTATAGGATCTCTTGTAAATACAGTCAAACTTACATAACTCGATGTCCAATTTTACGAAGCAAATGTTCGACTTATGGAGAATTCGAGTTAGAGAATTTTTTTATTTTTTTTTGTTTATTTTTTATCTATTTTTTTTTTATTTTTGGAAGAAACTAGAATTAAATTTTTAGATATTTATTTATTTGCAATCAAATTAAGCATAGAACTTATAGTAAAGTAAAATATTCAGAAATTAGGGTTTGGGAATTTAATTTTTTTCTTATTTTCAGTAAAAAGAGATTCCATTTTCTTTCCAAAAAGAGATTGCAAATATAAATTCGGGATTTTGAATGAGTCTTCTACTTCATTCTTGGAAGGCTGATGAACAATTACATCCATCGAGCCTCATCATCACTTTTCGTTGCGCTTAGAATTGGATCCAGTAATTTAGAGCTATAGTGCTCAATAATATCGTCATCTGTAGGAAAGTTCAATGTACAAATTTCATTTTCAAGCTCAATATAATCGTTAAGAGCAGCATTGGAAGTTATTTTATTTACTTTAAACGACGCTGCCAGCGACTGGCATTTGCACAAAGAAGCAACATAAGAAAAAAAAATTAAACATTTGGTTTGGAAAAAGGGACTTCCCCTAACAACAAAATGCATTTATACTTAAAACAAAAATTCGACTTATAGAATGCACTTTTCCATATTCCTATTGGTATGTGACAATATTTTGATTCGAGTTATAGAGAAATTTGAGTTATAGAAACTCGAGTTATGGAAGCAGAATTGTGTGTAAATTGCTCTCTAAAACCTTGGTGCACTGTTTTTGGTTCGAGTTATAGAAAATTCGAGTAATATAAGTTCGAGTTATTGAAGTTTGACTGTATATAATATTTAAGCAAATTTCAGCATTGATGCATTTACACGTCAAAATTTTGACTACTTTCGTTCCAAAAAAAAAAACATGAAGTAGACTTTGAAATTATTCAATTCATTATTTAATTTCGTTAGAAACTAAAACCGTATAAAAATCTGTTTCAATTTTTTTTCTATAACAAAGTTTAAATTGGAAAATATTTACCAAAATATATTTTGGTAAAAATGGTAAAAACTTAAGAATTTAATAGATCAAAAAAATTAGATATGTAACGAATTTTTCCATATTATAGAAAACGAAAAAGACAGAATTTAATAAGGGAAGGCAACTTAATGTTAAAAAAGCTACTCGATGTGTGGAAGGTAAATTTGATTTAATTATCTAGAAAAACACTTTGTTTTATGACTCTGTATCAATTTAGATCCGATCCGTCGTAAAATTAAAACTGCGGTTCAAAATCCTAATCGCAAAACAAATCGTTTAACTGGTAACTTAGATGTTTGCGCAGAAGGTAAGTTAAAATTATTATTTAGATAATATTTACACATTACCTTTATCAATTTAGAAACCACTCTCAATTTGCAAAATAGAAAAATTTGTAGCACTTCTCAGAATAAGTTAAAGAGATTGAGGGGTAGGCCACGCAAGACAATGTGTGACGATTCATTTAAAGCGGCCATTTCCGCTATGATGGACGCTTCATGTTTCGAGACTTTAAAGATGAAATCACCCCTAGTTGAGAAAATTATTAAAATTAAATTAAAAGCTAATTTGAAACCTGCTCTGACGAAAAAACTAATAACTAATGAAGTCAACCGCAATAACAAGGTAATAGAAAAAGCATATTTTAAAGGTATTACATATATTATTACATATATACATATACGAACATATTTTAGTTTTAAGAAATATAATTTTTAAGAAATAATAAGAATTGCAAATATTTATATTCCCTAGATGGTAAAAATATTAGACTGAAATAAATAAAAATTTAATTAATTAAAAGAATTATTTCAATCAATAATGAAATAAATAAGGACGAATGAAGTTTTAGGAGTAAAGCAAATATTTGTATTATCATAGCTTTTATATTTATTTAATTAATATATTATACTATATAATTGTATTAGTGAGTTTAATATGGTATTAATAATTGTAAGTTTTTTGAAAATTCATTTAACTATACATTGTGCACATATATCAAAGACCAAAGCTTTTTTAAAGTTCATCGTTCTAATATTAATTAAATAATTATTAATTTAAATAATGAAAATTATTTTTATAAAAATATCATAGATTTCTTCTTATGTATTTCAAAAACTATGATGACATAGTTTTTACAAAATATTTTTCCTCTTTTGTAAACAGACTATTAAATAGATACAAATAGAAATCTAAAAAGAAATTACAAATAGAATATCTCTCAGAATTCAGAGTGAACCACTATTCTTTCTCCTTATTTTTCGGTAGTATTAAAGCTCTGGAATAAAATCTAAAGAATCGGGTTTAGGTGTATTTAGTTAAATTGCGACAAGAAAAAGATATTTTTATTAATTATTTTATATTTAGTATTTATTTATTACTATTTTTTTTTTTTGATGTAATATGTAATACTGAAATAATCTTATTTTTTCTTCTAACATTTGTATTTCTAGTATAAAAACAATACTCGTGTTGTTTATGGAAAGGTCCACCCAATCAAATCAGGTGATATTCAGAAAACGGTAGTAGAAAATGCGAATAAGAGAGGTGTGGCAAAAAACAAAATTGGTCAACTTAAAGGAAAAGCGATTAACAATGGGGTGAAACGCCTTAACGGTAACAGTTATACTCATAACTTTAACGCAGTCATGAGTAGGGACCGTACTATAAAGAATAGATTACCGTCAATGAAAACTATGTTGTATGCAGCCATACAAGCCGCGAAAAGTGGATCTAAACAATTACTCTCCTACTACAGAATTAAGCAATTTTTCTTTGAAAAATATGGTTTAACCAAAAACAACATTGATGAGTATAAAGGGATAATAAGAGATTGCCTAAAGGAATATGAAAAAACAGGAGAGATTATAAGAGTTACAGGGGCGGGTTTGGTGGGATCGTTCACATTTTATAGGCAACTTAGATTTCCGCGCAAGGCAAATGCTCAAAAAATGAAATTAATTTTATGAATAACATATATACCAATATATATTTTTATAATAAACAATTTCGGCATAATTTTATTTTTATAATAAATCATTCCGGCATACTTTTGGCAAATTCAAGTTGTGGTGTTCTAATTAATTCTTTTATCTTTTATATACACTATGTTTTTATATTTTATATTATATTTTTATATATAAGTGCAACACCTGAGCATAAACCGGTACAGAATATTCTGCAATCAACAATATTCTGTGTTATAATTTAAAGTCTAAACAAAATTCAAGACCTTTTAAGTTGCAAAATCTTGAAACATCAGCACTAGAATTCATTTCTCTCTATTTTAATAATATAACTTTAATAAACGAAGTCTAATTTAACTCCTTTTAAGTACCTAAACCTTGAAACATGTACTTCAGAATAGATTTTTCTCTATCTTAATAATATAACTGTAATAAACGGGTCTAATGTAATAAACGTGGTTTTTATAACTTAAAGTTTATATATAATATAACCTAATCTCTACCTTGCATTTACTATGTTTACTTTCTTTTCCCAGAAAACACTGACAGTTCAATTTTAAACAACTTATATAGTAAAAGAGCATTAACAGATTCAAATGAAAGACGAAATATAAAAAATTGTCAAAATTATAGTTCTATTATTGATGCTTCAAGAAATTATTGAATAACTAACATAATTGATATTTACTTATTTAGATGAATTTCCGATTATTGATTACCCTTTCTCCTTTTTTATGCCTAACTTACGAGTGAACCCAGCGCACAATTAAACTACAGTTGTTTTTGAAGTAATCCGGTGGTATCTAAATTCAGATAACATGAAAGAAGTTAGGAAACGAATACATGGATTAAGATGTGGATGGAGGATGGTTGATTGTGGGTAGGAGGTATTAGGAAGAAAGGGTAGATTGGGAATGGGTTAGGTTTAAATTGAAATCAACCTGGATCCGGACAGAGAAACCTGGTCACTTCAATGGGGTGGTTCCAAAGTTGTGTGCAGTGGGGTAGGAAAAGAGTTGGGCGACGACATGAAGGGTAGAGCTGCAGTTTGAGCTCACATTATTAATAGAAGTGTTTATGCGAGACAAGTATCAGTTTAGCACATGGTTATATACTGATATTCTGCTTTGATCCTGAGGTATTGAGGTGCGGTTGGATTTATTCTGTATTATCCATTATTCGTTATATACTTTTCAATATTATTAAACTAAAGTGGGAGTTGTTAGCTATTGTAGGTGATTGCTTAATTGTGCTTTCGGAATAACGTTTTTAAATTATGTTTTATCAAATCTAAGTAATATGATAAATATTTTTAAAATAAAATTTAAATAAAAATTTAATTAATATAATTACCTATTTTAATTATTAATATAATTAATTAATATAGAACTATAAATGGTATGGAAAAAAACATATGTAATCATATGTTAGATTATATATTGTAATATATAAGTTAAAAAATCTCAAAGATAAAGATAATACTATAATGCATTTAAAATAATTTTTAAATGTTTTTTTAAGATTTGAAATTATTCTCATATTCAGTGTACGAAAATATTCAAATTTTGATTTATTAGATTTTTGATTTTCGCAAATTCTTTTAAATTTTTTTTTGAATTTAGACAGCACAATATCCAAAAAAATTATAATTTATTTTTAGATTATATACAGACTGCTCTTTAAAATATTTAGTGATTTAAATGAAGTTACTTATTGAAAGTTCTATTTGGTATCTTATTTATTCATTAATAAATTTGAAAATATTGCTTATTAGTTTTTATTTTTAAATATGCGCAATTAAATCTAATAATAAAAAAATTAATAAATTAAAAATGCTGTATATATTACCCATGATACATACCATAATATTCCAAATTAGTTTATATTAATATATATTAAGTTTTTATATTATATATACGAAGTAGATATATATTTTATTATATTATGTTTATAAGCACAATAAATCTTATAAGCCGTGGTGTACCATTGCTCCTTGTAATAAATATATTATATGTTATATATATATATATATTTCTGATACAATTTTTTTCAGGAACACATTTATTGTTTACAAAAATATTTTTATAAAACAATAAATAAATAAAAACTATCTTCAGACATTATATACCTATTATTTTTGTATTTAAAAAACAAGCTTGAATTTTTTAGTGTACATTCTAAGAATATCTTTTATTATAATTATTTTATAATTTTTTATTTGCTTTTACTATAATACAAATTTACTTGAATATGTGTGGTATACATGTTATATGTTCAAATTATATAAATTAAAATGTATGTAATATTAGCAAATGTTATAGAAAATATATTTCAAATGTAGTAGGTATAATAAATATATAAACTATTAATTGTATTATTTATCTAAATATATAGAGACAACGAATGTATTGCATTTTTTTTTTATAAAATTGGAATTTAGTTGGCAAAATAAAAAAAGTTTGATAAAAAATATATTTTATATAATTGAAATATTTCATTTAAGTATAGACCATTTAAGCTGTTCGCGCGCTGATTGTAAAACCTGTAAATATATATACATAAAAGCATTAAAAAACCATTAATTTTTATTTTTCCTATACATGAAATTATTTTTTTTTTATTAAAATTTTGTACATAATAAAAACTATATTTAAACAAAATTTTCAGTTTTTTTTTTTTTAAAACATTTTTACAATATATATATAACAAAATATAAAAATTGTACAATTCCAAAATAATTCTCTAACTAATACATTTACAAAATGAAACAAATAAATAATGATATTAATGATAATTTACTACATAAATATTTACAATGTTTAAATGATTTTTTTTTAATTTTGAAAATAATACTTTAATATAAAGAAAACTTTTCCTACTAACGTGTCGTACCAAAGAAAACCATAATTTGTTCTTAAATGATTTGAACTACCAAAACAGTCCATTTAAAGTGTTAGTTACCTGCGCAACAGTCTGTTCGGCAATAGGTATATCATCATTCCGTAAATCGACTCTCTTAACAACAGAGGATGCATCAGCATCCAAAATAATGCTGAAATTAAAAAGAAAAAAATTAAAATAAATGAATACAGGCAAAAAGAATCAATACATTATTTTGAACAATTTCAACAATGTTAAACTTGTTCTAATAAACTCAGAAGAAGCCATGTTTGAAAAGTAGTTAAGTTAAGTTTGGTTATACAGTTGATCCTAAGTATCCACTTATATTTTTTTGTCCATTGTGTTACCGTATAAGAGCTTGGAGGTTTAAAAACAACCTTAAACCCTTGACAAAATCTAAGATGCTTATTAATTAAAAGGAGTTCCTGGAGCTCGCCAAGATCCTCAAAAAATGTATTCTAGCATTATCGATTAGCACTATGCATGCAGTGGTCACTAACAAAACAGATGTGAGATATTTTTATCGTGGTCCCTACGTCCCCACACCCTCGTGTTTTCTCTAATTCATCAATAAACCCACCATAAGACTAATATCTTTAAGGAGCATCGCATAATAATGCTAGATTTTTTCTCAATACGACAGAGCATACAGATTTAGTTAATATTTAGTCTTCCCAAATTGTATTAATTATTTAATACAGAAAGATTTGAACAACTTTTTATATTATACCACTAGCATGCCCAGATCTTTCAGATGTCCCGAATGATCAATATCTTTTGGCTAGCTTGTCTACTTTGCAATTGCTGAAAATATCGCTATGACCTGAAACTAGCGTAACATAATGTTGAACTACGTCGACATTTCGTTTAAATATGAGCACCAGTTAATACACGTTCTACGTATAAATTGGACTAAACTTTACAACAACTTAACTTTTTGATAGTATACCTATATATTTCTATTCAATATACTATTATCCATTTTTTAAATATTTCACTTTGGTAATAGCGACCGTTTTCACCATAAAAACACTGCGGTGATTTGGAAGCTTGTAATATACTATAGTAACTTTACTACCTTTTTTGAACTGTTACTATATAAAAAGCATTAGCCGGTAACGCTTCTACTCTCGTCTGATAATTAAGAGTCAATTGTTAGCACAAAAAATTTACTATCGGTGTAGTGCTCCCTTACTGTTGAACTCAGAACCTTGCTTTTTTTATTGTATATTTTCTGATTACATTTTTTATCCTAAAAATGTAGAAAAGAATATATTTCAAATGATATTTATTTTTACTGAGCATTGCCACATGACTCCAGGTTGAAGTCTCAATCCTTCATAATAAACTATTTTAATTTTAAGTAACAAATACTTAATTTAAAATTTATTGTTATATATTGCAGTTGTAATTGAATTGGGTTGGATGAATAACATTCTAACATTGTTTGAGAAAAGGAATTAATCTGGAGCACATACTCTGTAGCTGGTAAAATCGCTAGATACTTGTAGTACATCATATGGGATAGATAAACGGCTTGAAACAATTAATGGCACCGCAATATAAACTCTAATATATACTTATAGTATAGTTCAGGTTTCGTTTATAAATATATAAAAGGGGAAATAAAAACATTTACGACATTGTATGTTTATTAAAATGTTATAAATTGGCACACTGACCTAGTATCTCTGATAGAAATAGCCGGCTAGGGAATTTAGTTTGAGTGTTTGCCGTTGTAATCAAGAGTAGGAAGTTCACTTTTTATGATACTCTGCAATGCTTCAAAAATTACTAATTGTTCAGCTTACTAGACACAATTTATATTCTTGCTTCCTCACTGTTATGCATATAGATATATATGTAAAACTATAGAAAATCTACTTTTAAATAGAACTAATAACACATACCCGCCGTCGCAGATTTCATCAAATGCCAACATAATAATTTCCAGATTATCCAACACTAAACGTTTTTCCACATTTTTTTTTAAAATTAAACTTATGGAATCGTACAGACAATTCAGCACTGATAAGAGTATGAGTTCATTTTCGTAGGCGCTGCCCATCACATAAAAGAATAGATCCACATTGCTCTTGTACACACACGTTAGTCCATCAAGCATTATGATTTCGGTATTGGAACGATGTGTTTTACTAAAGAGATTCTTTTCAAATGTTTTCTGTTCTTTCACGGTGGCCAGCACATTTTTATCGTAATATTTCGCCAATATGCGATTGCCGTCATTGTCCATAATGCACATGCCTTTAATTATATTTAACGTGGGTTCCTTAAAAACAAATGAATGTATTTTCAATATTAAATTTATTAGTTATTCATAGAAATATTTATAATAAATTGTATATTTACCATCATAAATCCGTCCATTTCGTCGATTTGTTGTTTGTTATATACACTTTGACAGTCAGCATACACGTCAACTGATTGTGTTTTGTACTAGCACAAGCCACAGCCACAATACTCAACTGACATTTAATTAATCTTGTACAAACGGCATAAAGTGGTTTGTGTCCATGCTAAAAAAATAAGTTGTCAAAAATTTTCAAAAATAATTTGAATTCTTAATTTTCATTGTTATTTCAAGTATATTTTGATTTGTTAACTTATGAAAGTTATTTTTTTATTTTCATAGCTCGTTAATAATAAGTATTATAAAGAAATACACAATATGGATATCATGGAACAAGAAAATCAGATCCTTGACGATTCAACAAAGCAAACAAAAGTAAAAAAGAGCAAATATGATATAGCAATAGAAAATTCATTCTATGCTAGTGAAGATATTTTGTTTGGTACCAAGAGAAACTTTAAGCGCTATCCAAAAAATGATAGTGATTCCTTCGCGGATGAAACAAATAGTAGCAAGAAAAAAATACCTAACAAGTTGCTTAAAAAAGAACTACAAGATATTACAGAGAGAAATGTCAATTTGGAAAAATCGCTTGAGGAAAAAAATGTAGAGATTACAGATCTGAAACGTTCAGTAAACTCTTTAAACGACGTGTTAAACTCTATACCAATTGATGAATTGCGTTGTAATTCTTCGGTTGCATCAAACAAGATACTAGAATTAAGCACGAAAAATCGGCAACTGCGTTCGGAACTAGACAACGCCAAAGCTCGTTGTGGCAAGAAGGAGTCAATTATACAAAAATTGCAAGACGATTTGAGAAAATTGCAGGAGAAACCGCAGACTGAAGACACAGCGAAAAATGTAAGTATTGGGTTTTAAATTTAAATACTGCGTTTCTGCTTAATTAAACAAGATTCTTTCTTCAAAAATGCATTTAGAATCCATCCCCTCTAGCAGAGACGCAAGCTAAACTCAATGCTATGCAACAGAAGTTCTATGAGATGCGAAATAGAAATATAGAATTACAAACACAACTGAAATGTGCGCAGAAGTGCATACAGCAAGAGCTTGGTGAAAATGTGAATGTAACGCAGTTATTGAATTCTTTCTCTTCACATCAGCCCACTTGGCGTGGACGTGCTCAACAAATTCTTCATTTGCAACAAAAAGTTAAGGAATTAAGAGAGCGATTGGATGGCTACGAGAGAATGCCGGCTACAGGACGCAGTGACACCACACTTACATCGAATATGAGTCAAAGTCAGATGACATATGATGCAGATAGTCAAAATCCAATTGAAAGTGGTTGCACTTTCGATCGTTTTAATCCTGTGGTGCGAAAAACAGAAATCCAACATCGTGCTAAACTTGAGAAGATGGAAAAAGAGATTAACATACTTAAAAGTCAGCTAGAAGAACAGCGTAATAAGGCACTTGCGTTGAAAGTGCGTAACAAAACGCTGAACGATGAATTAGCTGATCAAAGAATGCGATTGATGACACTTACAAAACAAACTGATTCCTATCAGGATAAATGTCTTGAGTCCATACATGAACGTTTGGGTATACAAAAGAATCACTACGAAATACGCATCAATGAATTGACTTGTGAGATGGAAGAGGCTGTTAAACTACGAAATGAAGCTGAGCATAATGTAGAGAAAATGCAGTACAAATATGAAAACGTTGAAGATGCCTTAATAGGGAAAGATACACAAATTGAGAAGTTAAATGGCGTGATAACAAAGTTAGAATCAGATATGGAAGCACTGGTTGGGGGGTTTCTATTCTCATGTAGAGATATGCGTACAGTAAGTTTGTAATAATTTATTATACGTTTATAAATAAACTATTTAATTATATTCACTTAGAATGACTTTAGCACTCTTCTGGATACTTTAGAAAGTGAGAAAAATCAATTATGTAGTTTAAATAAAATGCTTAATGAACGTATTGACGGAGAGCGTGATAAGAATGAGAACCTAAATGATCAAGTAGCTAAGCAAAAGATACGCATCGCTCGTTTGGAAACAAAAATACGTAAGATTATATATAGATTATATATTAATATAACACTCAAAGTCAGTATTAGACCTCATCCATTCAAGATAGTAAAGTAAAATAATTATAAAAAGTAGCACTAAAGTGGGAAGGGTTAGTCATGGAAGCTATACATTTGGCTAAAACGTATACATAAACCCTATTTAGTTTATAGAAATCTATAAAAAGTATATTTCTTTCTATGGGTACAAAAAAAACATAATGTATGATATTAGGTAGTATATAGTACCACTTTCTTGACACAAGACTTTAATATATTATATTTTATTTATTATTGAATCAAAGAAATTCACAGCACTTACAAAAAATTATAGAATTTTAGTTAGAATCTAAATTGACTATATATGTTATAGTATATATATATTTTTTATATATTTCTTTTAAATATCAACATCCCAATGATGATCTACTTATTTTAGTCTCAACTCTTGACATAGTAAAAGTAAATTATAATTTTATTTTTTGTCCTAATCTATATTATAGGAGACCTTGAAAAAGAATTAGACTCACAAAGTGAACGTAAAAAGCGTACTCAACGTATTGCTGAATATAGTAATACCGTAAATAATATCAATAGCTCATTTAATGGACGTTCTTATACATTCGAAAACTCATCAATGACTTCTTTACAAAGTAAAAAATCCCTCAAGGATATTTCGGTGCAGCAAAGCATAAGTGACTTGAAACATGAGTAAGTTTAGCATAATATAAAAAACCAGGTATTATAGTTGTAACACAAATTCTAATGGAATATATAAATATATTAATATCTTTCTTAATTCTTTTAGATTGCAGTATTCAAATGAGAAAATTGCATTGCTTGAAAATAAATTGGGACACTTACAAGATGAGAAACAAAAGGATTTGATGACATTCGAAGAGATTATAGATAACACCAAGGAACGTATTGTAAAAGCTCTCAAGCAGCATAATGAAGATAATCCTGTTTTCGTAGAAAATGGAGGTTTTGAGGAATTATAAATTTTCTGAAGACTAACATATATTTTTTATAAGACCACTATTTTCGATGTCAATTATAGTTTATATAGTACAGAGAATTAGACTTTGGTAATTAAAAATTAAAGCTAAATATATAAAAGTATTTATACTTCTTACTTTTATATATTTAATTTTAATTTTTAATTACAAAATAGAAATTACAAAAAAAAATTATTAACTTGATAATAAGACCAAGAAACTTTTAATATATATTTAACATATTATTTTGTTGTTAAAACTTAAACAACTTTAGATACCTTCTAAAAATTATAGTTTTAATAAAATTTATATTAAATTGTTGCTCTTTATTGGTTGAAATAATTTATTAATTGCAATACATTTATTTATTTTATAACTTTATAAGCATTACAGTTGTTTCGTAATTTAAAATTTTTCTTAATATTTAATAATTTAATTTTTATATTATAAAACTATTATTTTCAGGGCAGTTAATGATATTTTTGGTTAATTATTTTTTTTTATATCCCTGTATAATTTTTTTCCTTTCTCTAAATATTTTATTATTGTTTAAGCGTTAATTTTAAATATTTGTAGTATAATTATTGCATTAGCATTTTATCAATTTTAATATGCGAATTTATTTTATGTTTTAAATTAATTTTTAATTAACATTTTATAATTGTGGTCAGTCAATTTGTAATATGCAGCATAAAAATTTATATATATAATATTTAATTTTTAGTTTTTTTATTACTATATTGGTAGAAAACAAATAACAAAAAAGGCACTTTAGGATCATAACATATTGCATTAATTAAAGTGATACTTAATACGGCAGATGTTAGATAAAAGACTATTGGTTTTTTAGTTTTCATATATTTTTAATATATATATGAGTAAATATATAGTTCGAAGTAATTATGTTACGAAATTAACTTATATTAACTATCAACTATCAAATACCCAACATATAGATGCTATTTTGCAAGGTTTTAAAGTCCATTTTTTACAGCAAATATTTTGATAGTAAACTACTTTATTAGCTTGCATTCTGCATTCTGGTTAAATAGATTTTAAAAATGTTAACAAAAATATGAAAAAAAAATCAAATAAATGTTACGTAAAAAATAAAAAAATTCAATAATTTATGTTAAATTTTATAATCATATCGTCTTGAAAAAACATGGTAATTTATAGCAGAAAATATTGGTTTACGAAAGCAAGGGGCTCAAGGCTTAAAGCTTTATTTTGCAGAACAAAAACACATAATTATCAGAATTATAAAAAATGTAGCTTTGCTTAAGGGACTGTTATATTGTTGTTTTTGTATATAATACGAGTAGATTTTAATTATATTACCTTTACTTTTCTTCTATATCTTAATCCTGCATAATGGGAGAGTATATAAATGCTTCTGAAGTATTAACTGAGTTGAAATAAAAAAATAAGTTTTTATCATATCCCTGTTGGGAGAGTTAAACGGTGGCTGGTCCTTTTTGAAGACGACTGGTCTTCGTGGCGTAGACCTGTCTAGTCTTGAAGTATTGATCGTCTCTTTTTATATCTAAATGCGCAAACACAATTCAGCTCTCTCTTTACTTATGGCACCACTTTATTAGGACTTCATCTGGAAACATGCTAGTCATAAAATTCATAACCAACGCTTTCCCTTCCTACCTATTCTTCAGTATAAGCACAACACATCATTTTAAGGATTTACTATATTTCAAACCCTTGCCCTATCATTTTTTTAAGTGATGGTTTTGTTTTTTTCTACTTGATGAACTTTAGATGAAACTTTATTGTTTAAATGTAATACATTTGATTATTATTATTATTTGATGAGATGGAACTATTATTGGATTATTAACTCTATTACTCAATTGCTGCGAGCAAATGTTGTTTCGGAACTGAATTGAATGCAAGTGAAACTAATACAATTCTTGAGATGTTGAGATCAATATATGGTTAATAAGATTAAATGACTTTTTTGCTGGAATAAGAAATTTAATTTAAATTCGTAATTTAAGATTCTGTAATAAGTATGATTATTGTAATTACCTAGTAGATTGTAAATTGCGATTATAGATAATTAAGCTCTAAAATTCGTTTTTGATCGCAAACAACGATTCCAGATGGCCTGATTTATTTGCTCTATATTAAGCTTCGCAATAAGTCTTATTATACCAAATATCTTATTGATGGTAAGCAACGATTGCGAAAGAACTGTGCGCAGAAATTTTGACTTTTTACTGCAATCAAAATCATCAAAATATTTGAACTTCCTAAGTATTTAATAATAGACACAAAAAATATGTATAGAGCAAATTTTGTAGAGAGCCAACATTAGTAAATGTAGGTCTTGAGTGATACTTTATTTCTTTAATTTCCTAATGGTTGTGCATCCGATTTTTTATAATTCAAAAAAATAATATCAGCATATATATACTCAATTCCAATAATAATATTGATTTTAATATCAATATTTTAATATCGATATTTTCTCATTATGGAAAATAATAATCTCCATATTATTGCTCACATTATTTTGAAAGTAACTTCATAATTTTGGAAAAAAATAGTAATAAAATATAAATAATAATAAAATAAAAATAATATAAATTGTAATAAATAGGAAAAAAATAGTAATAAAATATAAATAATAATAAAATAAAAATAATATAAAATTGCTAATAAAATTAGTGTTAGTAAATTAGTATCAAAAAAAAAAAAGAATAATAAACTAGGATTAATAATAATAAAATAAAACAAATATAATAATAATATTAAAATAAAGTTTATTTGAAATCGATGTATCATAACACTAAGAAAAGAGCATATATTCAACATTGCAACATATTCAACATATGAAAAAAATAAACATGAAACTCACCACTGAAAGTGGTGGGTTTCCATATGTGGATGGAAACTTAACACATATGCCGAATGAAAAAGAAAACAATACATATTAATAAAAAAAATATTAACATAAAAAATGTGAATTTTGATTTATATTTAAATCATATAAATCACATATTAAATTTTTTATTAATAGATAGAACTACAGCAACAAAATTTTTTTTATATTCTTTTAATCAATTGAATTTTTAGCCGATATGACTGCTGTTTCGAGTATTACCAAATACCCATCATCAGTGGTGTTGAAATTATTTCTTGTATATATAATTATTCGTAAATAATTTTTCTTTTTTTGAGGCAAGTACCAATGGTTGAAGTCGTATCCTGTCAAATTTAAAGCTTTATTTTATTAACAAATTAACTAAGATAATCTATTATGATCTGCAATTTTTATATATTATTTGTTTTATATATTTATTTACTTTGAAAATTTTTTTCAGTTTTATAGAATTATTTTTAGAAATTGTAAGGTTTATTGTTTTTTTAAATTCTTGTATAAAATTGATTTTCTATTAAAATAAAAAAGGTATAAAAAGCTTTTATAAATATTTCAATTACGGCTTTGGGCACATTTTTATGAAGATTTTAAAAAAAATTTAGTCTTTTAGATATAAAGTAATTAGTTACTGGTCTGTACCGAATACTTTAAGGAACACAAATAGATTGTTTTACTTCTTCTAATTTTAGTAATAGTAGATTATATATTTAAATATTTTACTCTATGATTATTAAGTTTACTATATGATTGGTATATTGTTTAAAAATTTAATATATATTACTTTTTCGGTAATAGGTGTATAGCCAATGTTACTATTTTTATAGCATACTTTTATATATATTTAGTTTAATCAATCATCCTATAATAAAAGTCTATTTATCCAGTACTTTTAAGCAGTATTCAAAATTTTATTGTATTTTTTTCAGCAATTTAATTTTTTTAATAAGCAGTACTTTTGTTTCAATAAATTTATTGTATTTATATTTAAGATTTGCTCTAAAATTGATATAATTATTTAATTGCTCTTTACTATATTATCATAGTTTTAGTTAACTATATTTTATTGCTCTATGTTTGTATATATACTATTAAGCCAGTAAATCTATATCAAATGCTATACGGTAAAAATTAATATAATATTGTATAAATGCTACAAGTAAATATTGCATCTAAGTTTATGTTTTCAGTATATAATATATATATATATATATGTAGTATATAATATAATTGAAATTCGTAAAATCAATCTTACGTTGCTTTATATAAATTTCTTTATTGCAAAAATTGTTTTAATTAATTTTTATGACTTAAATTTTATTACAATGTGTGTAAATTTTTATGTTTAATAATAAAATAAAATACTTAAATTGCTTGGTTTATCTATATAAATTTTTATTCTGTAAATTCATTAAAATTATGTTTTTCTTTTTGCATAATTTAATTTATTCAAACTGTTTTACATGAATATGTATATAAAGATATATTAAGAACAAACAAAACATTTGTTTGCTTTATGTTAGAATTTATGCAATTTTAAATTTAAAATTTTAAATAAAAAAAAAATTAATTACGTTAATTAAATTATTTTATGTTTGTGGGAAAAATAAAAGGAATTCCTTCAGTATTCATTTTTTGTTGGTTTTGCTAGAAAACCTGATTGAAATAGTAATAGAAGTCCTGTTCAACTTGTGATTGTTTGTTTTGCTTATTGGGTTTTTGTTCTTCTTTTGGATAGGATGGGGGTGGAGAATTTGGGGGATTTCGGTAAGTATTATAATTATTCATTGTACCAGCATTATTGTTATCGACTAAAAATATGTTAATAAAAAGTATTAATACAAATATTAAATAGAGTATAAAAACAGTTATTACAACAACATGGTGACAACAACAGTAATAAAAGAATCCCTATTAAATAACCGCCTGCTCCACATAATTAGCGGGCAACATCCCAATTTTGCCAGTACGTTCCACTCTGCCGGTCATCCAGCCGGAATCAATGGAATCAACTTCGAAAATAACGTCTCCTTCACGAAAACTGACTTCATCAGTATCTTGTGCCTCATAGTCATACAGAGCCCGATAGACACGCTAAAAAAAGATGAATATATAGTTATTGTTTAATGTTATTCTAATGTTTTTTAGTGTTAGTTTGAACACAACTACAGTACTTATGGACAAATGGGTCTTACTGAGCTATTGTTAATGTATGAATTTGTATATGGTATTAAATGTTATTTTTTTTATTAACAATTTAATATATGTGTTATCTTAAATTTGTTTAAAATGCATAAAATTGTATTACATATTTTTTATATTTTTGTTCCTAATTTATAAAATGATTACTCCTAATTCCTAAAATTGTTTGAGTATTATACCCCTATACCTACCAGCTGTATTTTCCTTTAATCTCTGTTTATTGTTAATGTTGCTTTGCTTCTAAAACAGATTAAAAAAGTAAGCTACTAGATAAGGAGCCTTATAAATGATAATATTGGAAAATTCATAATACAGATTTATTTTAATTTATTATTACTCAAAGACACATCTTATATAAAGGCTTTGGAAGTGTACAATTCTTTAATAAGATTTATGTAGCAAACATCACTGGGTTAAAATGGAAGAGTGTTCTAGGTAAGATTCAAGCATTACTAACTGACTAAAACTTATATGCTAGCTAACTTAAAATTACTAACTAATAAAGTCTTTTATGTATCTATATGCCGCTAAAATTTATTGAATTTGTTAGATGCCAATAAAGTACTACATTTTGAGCTCTACTTTTAATAAAGGATTAATATAATTAGTCATAAAATAAAATAATTTCTTCTATTTCGGCCTCCACCTGATATTACCTCCCTATATATAGCTAAGTAATAACTTGTTACGAATAACTATGTCGTTTCCAAATGTGAAACTCAAATGCAGTGCTATCACATGGTATCGCTCGTCTATTTAGATATCCTTCAGAACACACAAATTCTGTGAATCCGGCACCGGCTTTGTTTCAGGAAAATTAGAAAGAATTTTTTTTTAGCATCTATTAAAAAATATGTTAAATTTTGTAGTGTATACTTCTAAACTGAAGGAATTGAATTAATCACTAAAACAAAAGGATCAGAATTGATCAATAGAAAAGGCATAATGACCCAAGAAGATAATGGTAGATCTCATAAATAGCTCTTTTCATATTCATATTCTAATCTAAGAGATCTAAAACATGTGTATTGCTTGTTTTGGTATTTATAACATTTAAAGACAAAAAAATCTTTATCTGAAATAAGGATGTAAGCATGCCAAAAATGATTTTGATCAGTGTTCGCCAGTAAAGATTAGAAAATATATGAACGTAGTATTATTCTAATACTTGTTAGAGTGCAAAAAAAATTGGTGAAAATATAATTATTCACAACACAAGTTCAGAAAATCGGGTATAATTTAAAAAATAAAAGGAAATTGCTTTCCGAACAATCTAATAATTAGGTTATATATATAGGTAGACTGTTTTAAAAACCATATATATAAAACATACATATATTATATATATTATATATTATATACATTATATATATATACAACACATATTTATATTATATATTACTTTTAAAAATAACAAAATTATATTCTTATCAATCTTCTTCTTAATAATCTTCTTGATCGTTTTCCTGGGCTTTCTTATAGCGTAAAAAATTGTTAATATTGGTACCTTAACATCGAATTTTTTATGGCGTTGTGACCATAATAAAAATTATATATATAATATATTAAAATATTAAATATAAAAGTATACAGGTAAAAGTATACGAATTATGATTTGAAATTTATTTACTCTACAATTAGTTTTACAATTCTTTAGCAGTTATTTTACATATATAGTGTAATCACAATCTATATAACACTACAATTTGGACACACGTTTAATTAAATGGACTTTAAAAATAAATATTTCTGTTCTAATTTTAAAGTACTCCATCGAGTCATTCATGGAGTTATCGAGTCTCAAATGTAAAGGATTAAACAAAAAATAAAATAATATTTAGATAGACAAAAGACTATAGCAAACTGTGTTATAGAAGGTGGGCTCGTTTTGTCTCAAAAAATCAGTTCATTGTTATATCACAGAGCTCTTTTAAGGTATGCTAGAATGTCATTGATGCACTCATTAGGGATATTGAAAAGAAATTAAATCAAAAAATAGAATTTTGAATATGGAAATCTAAAAAGCACATATAGAAAAGGCACTCGTTCTAAGGTTACCCTAACGTTTAAGACAAAGACGCGACTACTTCATTATATATTTCTACATTTTATTAATCTAATATAAATATTTATTACTCTTTGTTGTATTACTTATTAAATATACAGCTGTAATATTTTCAAGTGTCTCTGTTAAAATGTAATTATGGAAACTGAAGGTAGTAAACGAAAAGCTTAGTTTTGATTAATATTATAATTATTATAATCATATAATAATATATATAAAAAAAAGAGGAGTGAGTTAAATTAGGTGAGAATAGGATGTAAAATATAAGTGTGCGCCGTACTATCAAAACCTTTTAGCATTTGAGTTTGACTAAATTATAAAACATTAAAAAGTTAGTTAGTTAGTTGTGTATATATATTATTTTTTATTTTTTACTTTTATTTCTAAGAATAGCGAAAAAGTAAAATAATTACAAAATTTTCGATTTATTTATTAGGTATCAACAGATAGTTTAAAAACTGATATAAAAAAATTTTGTCCCGAATGTAACTCCGAAAATGTATAAATTCCTGAAATTTTTTTTTTGATTTGTAATATTTCTAAACATTTCGTTTACGGACCCCTCCTTTTCGAATACTAATGTCTTTTTGAAAAAATAGAAAACATTGAGGAACATTTGGCTTTCAATACATGGAAATATTCGTTCTAAATGAGAATACATTAGATTCGTTTACAGAAAGAAACTGTAAAGAATCATCCATTCTTTTTCATTATATACGGATATGTAATAACTTGATAGTAAAAATTTTTAAAAAATAATATATTAAAATCTACTATTGTTTTAATATTATTGTAATGAGTGGAAAGATACTAGATAATATTGAAGATGGATTGGTTAAGTTTCATGATGAAGATGGATGATTCTTTACATTATGATATATTTTTATAAATACTAACCAAACTGGTTTTTAATGACTTTTGTTGTTGTGGAGGAGCCTGTTGCATTTGTTGTTGCTGTGGCGGCATTGGTGTTGGTTGTTGGGTCATCTTATTTATCTGCTGATAGTATTGCTGTTGCTTCTGCTGATGATTTTGTTGTTGGTTTTGATGATGCATTTGCTGGTGATGATTTGCTGTAATATTGTTATCAGCAGTTAGAGACCCATAAATGCCATTAGCAGGATCAATGTCAGCTACCGAGCCAATACGTTTTGGGTAAGCAGAATTGGAACCTATAATAATAGATTATAATCATATATATAATATTAAAATATATAATAAAATATCTAAAAATTTCTGTGTGTTACTGAACAAAGCAATTTGCCAAGAATATTTTTAAGTCTAGCTTACATGACACACAAATTACGAATGTTTTCGAGTAGTTTACTTAGGTACGTTATCTATCACCGGGCATACATACACAGTACATACATACACACACATATAATGTTTTTACAATTTTTACACACATGCCTCTATACATGTTTACATGATGAAACTCACCAGAACCGCGGCTATCTGAGCTATAGATAAGTGTGGTACTTTGTCTACCGGTGTTTGGTATTTGACGTGGACCATCGGTCAAAGGATCATAATCGGCAATTTTGCCGATATTTGAGTTGCTCGGATTGCCGCTAACAACGGTTACGCCGTTACTGCTAGTTGTGCCGTTGCTTATAACTCCATTGCTGTGATGCGCTAATGTTGCATTCAATTGTGTTTGTGGTGTAGTATAGTTTAAGCCGCCATTGTTGTTATTATATACGGTAGCTGGATTCACTGCACTATTACTGCTGTTGTTGCTGGCACGTATGTAGTTGTTGTCATATTGATCATAGGCATAGGTGGGCGTATTAACATCATTCACAGCTTGAAGTGCGCCGGTTGGATGATGCGAATTCTGCAAGATGCTTGAACGTAGCTGATTATAACTGTTATTGGGTTGTTGATATTGAGATTGTGGCACCTGCTGTTGCTGCTGTAGCAGTTGGTGTTGTTGTTGTTGTTGCTGCTGTTGGTGATAATCTGCAGTAGGATATAAATGAGAAGTTTGCTTAATAGGTTGTGTTTGTGGTTGTTGCTGACGCAGCGCTTGTGGTTGTTGGTAGTGTTGGTATTGTTGTTGTTGTTGCTGTTGTTGATATTGTTGGTGTTGTAATTGTCGTGTTTGTTGTTGCTGTTGTATGGGTTGTTGCTGCCGATGATTTTGTTGATTATATATTTGTGTTGTTGCTGCTGCTGCTGCTGCTTGACTACTTTGTGTGATTGCTGCCGTATTATATTGTTGGTGTTGTATTGGTGGTGGTGGTAATGTTTGTTGTTGATGCATATATTGTTGATGGTGTTGTTGTTGTTGTTGCTGCTGTTGCTGCATGTGATGATGTTGTAAGTGCATTGGTTGTTGTTGTGGTGGTGGCAACGGCGGCGACAACTGTGGTTCTGTTGTGATCATTGATGTTGTTGTTGTAGCTACTATTGGAGCATATTGTGAGAATTGTTCAGCCGCAAGTGTTTCAGAAAAATATTCTGATTCTTCTGTATTTAGTTAACGAGTTTTATGAAGTGTTTTTGTTGTTGTTGAAGTGTTATTTTTGTTATTTTTATTGAGTTTGTTGTGGTTTAATGTTTGGTTACAATGAACGAATGTGCACATTGTGAATTTTGATGTTGATGATAAAAACAAAGTTGATGATCATAATTAAATGATGGAGATGTTGTGATTGGTAGTAGGATTAAAGATGATAAATTAAAGAACACAAACAGGGTGGTGTCATGTCAAAAAACCAAGTAAGATATCATGAAAAAAATTAAAAAAAAAAAAACATAAATGTAATTATAAGTGTTTTGTGTTGTATATGTTTTTGTAAATAATATGTTTATGATATTATTATGGTTAAAAATTGTCAAAATACATTAGAAATTAAAAACAATACCATTAATTAATTCTTAATAGAGTGAAACATTTTGTATAGTTTATGGGTTGGATTTTGTTATTGTAGCAATCGTTAAAAGATTTGCAAAATGTACTAACATCTAATACCAATTGGCAGAATTGTGAAAAATAAACCGTCATTATTTAATGAATGATAAGTCTTAACCGCAAGCAGTATTATACTTCTCCACAAGTTTCAAAAAAAAAAACATCGTCACAATTCCTCTTTAAAAATTTTTTTTTGTTTAATGCATCATACATCGTTGCGTCAATGCATCATTGGTATAATTATTATCGTAATTATGTATCTTCCAAGTCTAAATATGATTACACTAAATAAAAGTTTCACCGGTTTGAAAAAAAAAATTTAGAGTAGTTAATAATTATAATTAGGAGACCGGCTTGTAGAGGATGCGGTAGAAGTAGACCTATTAATTAGTTGTACAAAAGTGTTATATGACTGCAAATCTTAGCTTAAGAAAACTTAAAAACATTTAAGTTGGTTTCAATTCATGGACAAAAATCTAAAATATCACATGTATCTATAAATGCTTTAAGTGTTGGGTATAACTTTATGAATCACGAACTGCACTATAAAAAACTCGCCGAAAAGCAATTTCATACATTTAAGCGAAAAATATTTCTTCACATTCTAGGTCCCAAAACTCTAATAGAGGGAGATAACTTCCATCATTCAAGATACAATGAGAATGTCAAACGATTTTAGAGAAACAAACTCTTACAGAAAAATTAACTACTACTAACTGCCATGTACTGATAGTTTGCATAGGCTAAAAATGAAAAACATTCCACAGAGAATGTATATGAATGTCCAATGGTAATCACAAAATCGGCAACTATTTAAAAGCTCAAAACACATTGAGTTACAATTTATTTGAAAAGTTAGCTACTGTGATTTGCTCTCAGAGAAACTGTACATTTGTTAATTTTATATACAGGCCTATTCTGAATACTCCCAGCGAAAAAACTCCCTATTCCCACGCTGTTCCCGAACACACAGCTCCCTTATTCTAAATCGCTAGGGAGACAGCAGTTTCGTGAACAACAACAATTTCAAATTTGTTTTGTTAAATTTTGGCAACCATGCCACTTTTTAATGACGAAAAGTGAGAAAATGAGCAAAACAAAAAAAACAGTTGCGTATCATATGTTGATTTAAATGTTAAAATCGCATTATTTGTTTGCTGCACAAATTATTAGAAATAAATATAAATAATTTTATAAGTGATTAATGAAAAACTTTTATTTTAATGACAAAAATAAGCATATAAAAAGAATTGTGCAGTTGTTGGTGTTTATTTATATAAAAAATTTTTAAAAACTTTAAAAATGCATTCAATTGCATTACGAATATTAGCAGAGGATTTGGCTCAAGAACATGAGCAAGAAATTTTGAAACAGAGGATCAATCGGAGAAACTTGAGAGACGCAGCAAATCCACTTGAGCTGCCTAATTTCTTGTAAGTACAAATGTAAATTTAATTTGGTTTTAAAATAAACTTTTTTTCATTATAGATTTCAAAAATATTACAGAGTAAATAAACCAGCATTTATTTACCTGTTAGAGGAACTTACTGAGGAACTACAACCAGCAAAGAAGCAGTTTGCAGTTGCTCCAATTGTGAAATTGTGCGCTTGTTTGCGTTTCTTTGCTGAAGGAGCTTATCAGACGTCAGACATTAAATATCACATTAAAATATATTCGAAAAATTTATTATTATTGGTTACTTAAATGTTAAATTTAACTCTTTTCTAAATTTTTAACTAATTAAAAAAAACCTTACGTTATGATATCAATTCTTCAATGTCTTTATTTTCAAACATTCACTGCTTTTATATAAAATTTGCGTAAATGATAATTTACTTTTTTTATATAATTAGGATAGAAATGTCCTTTATGCTTCAATTAATGAACTAATAATAGTTTATACCTGTGCAGATCTTACAATAAAAAGAAGCAATGTTTTACCTGCACATAATTGCAGTTTATTTTAACTTATTCTAGGAATCCATTTATTTCAGAAATTGGTTTCCTTTCATTTTTCTATTGTTTTAAAAACAATAGTTAACACTTTAATTAATGGAAAAAACCCGTGTGAATAAAATAAATAAATAAAAATTTAAATATTTCAAATTTGTTATACTTTTATTAAAATAATAATTTTAATAAAATATATTAAATGAAAATTTTGTTATATTAAATTTACTAAAATATATTCGGAAAACTAATCAAAAAATAAAACTTTGAAAATATTAAATTTATTGTAATAATTTTATTATAATAATAATTTTACTAAAATATATTCAAAAATCTGATCATTTTCAGTTACTTTTATATTAAATTATTTTTAATTTACCATTTTTAATACTTTTTTAACTTGTGTCCCCAACAATTTGGTAGGGAGAAAATTTGTGCAAAATTAGGAAAAAACTCCCATTCCCATGCGATTCAGAATAGGGGAATTGGGAACAGGGAACATACCAAATTTATTCAGAATAGGGGAATTGGGAACAGGGAACAAACTCCCATTCCCTTGCGATTCAGAATAGGCCTGATAGTTTATTCTACATGTGGAAAAGTTTCACCGTTTTCTTGTCTAGTTTATTCTTTGCTTTATAATAAACAATTGAATAAAGGATACGTTATTGTAGATAGAACCACGATGGAACGTTCGCATTTTTACAGTTATTTTCTATGGCGTTGGCTTTATATAAGTTGTCAGTGCTTAAACTAAAAAACTGAAGAAACATTTTAGAACATGTAGAGACAATGATGGCAATTTATGTTGATGGACAAAATCCATTTCGCATCGTAGAATTAGAAATTATGTAAAAACGAAGGGAATAAAAAAAACAAAAGTGAAAATGACTCAAAATAAAATGAAAATATCTAAAGAATAGGTTTCATATCATCTCTTTCTTCTTGGACTTTCAAATCAAAACAGGTCCTTGAGTGTTATGAGCTTCTGCAATCACTTGCAGCTCGGAATAAGCTAAGCCTTTACTGGGTTCCGGGCCACAGAGGAGTTTTGGGAAATGGAAAATCATATGCGGCTGGAGTATTGGGTAAACTTTTCAGGACTCAGACAAAGCAAAGCACTGATAACACTGTACTCCTACAAAGACATTCTTAAATTCTCAAAATGTAATTTAAGGTTGATAACGGGTTTCATTACAGGTCATTATGGTCTGAAATCTCACCTTCATAAACTACAATTATCTGCTAACTCAGAATGCAGATTATGCCTCGAAGATGAGGAAACGACCATGCCCATTCTTTGTGACTGTCCAGCTTTAATAACGCACAGAAGAAACCTGTTTCATAAAGAATTTCTGTCACCAGAACAGATTAAGAACTCTTCTCTAGATTTAGTTCTAGACTTTATTCACAAAGCTTTAAGGGGCTTTGTCGCAGTACCGGCTGTTGGGAAATTTTTACGTCTACTCTTTTAATAATAATAATCTGTTAATGGGTTGAAATATTGTAATATAATATATAAAATTAATTCAATTCCATGAATGGGACTAGGTTCGAATTATTATTAAATGTAATTAAATGATGTCATTTCTTATCAAATGCTGAAGAATCTTCAGCAAATCTAAATTTTCACTATTATATTTCAAATTTAATTAACTATAATAATTACTTTTAGGAAAATAATCCACTATAACAGATTCTCTTGTATTAATATATAAAGTAAATAAATTAATAACTTTGTTAGGTACAAGAATATTCTGTTCAAGACATCAAATATCCCGAAAGAAATATCTTCTCGGTATGCATAGTGTGTCACTTTTCAAAGAAAATTCAAATATGCTAAAGAGATTTGAGAAGTCTAAGTATAAATATAGTATTTGATTAACTATTACATTAGATTTATTATTATAAGATTACATCTGGAAAACCAAATGGTTTAACAAGGATTACAGAGGTTAGCAATTCGCCTCTCCTGGCAAAATTTTTGAGGGTAACACAATGGGCAATATATGTCCGAGTGGAAGTGCTGACAACGGTCAGCACGCGCATTCCGAACATAACCTAACCATTAGATTACATAGTATATATTTTGTGTAGATTGAAAAAGTAGATTAAGAGAGATAAATATATAGAAAGAAAGGGATAAAATCTTAGAAAATGTACTCATTTATGTAAAGTAAAAAAAATGAAAAACATTAGAAAATACAATAAAGTTGAATAGTTTGTGTAAGGATAATTATAATATAGTATATGTTTTCTCCTTATAGGATTTCGTAATTGCATGTGGTTAATGAGTAATATATAGTGTTGAAATATTATGTGTTATAGGTTTTATCACATTCTAAATTCAATTAAAATGTCAATTAAAATCATTCTATGACTACATCGTAAATGATTTCGAATGATTAGTTCAATAAAAAGATATAAAAAAAAAATAACAAATTGAATAATAACGTTAAATGGGCATTGATTCCAGTGAAAATATTTATTTATAGACAACATTTCATTTGATTTAGGAAGGAAACGAGCAAAATTAATGTGAAAATACAATTGTTTGAACAAATATTACATCATTTTGAAGCATTGCACGATAGAAAATGATTTCGTAACTATTTTAAATCATGACGAACAACAACAAATAATTAAAATGATTTAAGCACATTAAAAAGTTAATATGCCACAATACGATTACGATTACGCATTGTATGAGTTATTATTTTATATTAAAAAGCTTCTGTGTACATTTAGACTAGCTATAAGAGAGAGATTTTGTTAATAAACACAAACTTACCACGGTTATCTGCAATTTCGGCGGTCTCACGTTGTTTC